ATCTACAGCCAGTGTTTGATTTGTCCACTCTGGGCTACTGTGAAACAACATGGCGGACTCTGAGGCCGAGGACCTGCTCCGTATCTGAATATAAATGCCTCATTCTAAGATAACACAATGATTATTATTTTTTTCTCCTAATTCGTCACACTGGACCTTTAAAGAAATGTTGACAAAAATGCAGCTGAGCATTTTCACTGAAGAAATGAACGTCACCTCAGTTAAAGTGGTAATGAACCAAAATAAGCCACAGACAGACGTGCTGCCAGCCCGTACATCTCCAACATCTTTTTGATTCGTTTCTAAAACAAATACCTGAATCGCCCCGAGCCCTCCGGCGGCCTCCCCCTGTGTGACCTCGTTTACTTCACCCTCTGACTTAGTAAAAACACATTGCTTTAAAGAACGACTCTATGGATTCCTTTCACCAACACTGTTGAAGGACGGATCCTCGCCTGACAACACCTCCTCCCCCTGTGACAGGTGGAGGGATGGAGCTCTGAATGCAGCTTTAATCTCTGCTTTTCTTAGCCGTAGCCAAGGCACTGCTGGATCAGAGAAACCTGACATCTCACAACTGATCAGATTCTCTAAGAGTTTTTTCTACAAAACAAAAATTGCATCTGCTTTTGCTTTTTTGTAGCTTGTGCGAAAGGAGATGTTTTGCTTGCATCGAGGATGTTCAATTCACAGTCTTACAAAAATACTATTTGTCGTTTCGAGGTAATTCAAATTCTTCGCAGATATGTAAAATAAATGTGATTATTTTTCTCTTTGTTGTACCAGTTTGGTGAAAGGCAATTCTGTCAGAATATATACGTGGTATCATATTCACATGACATCTCAACACATGCAAAATAGTGTAGTAGTGTATATGTGTTAGTGTAACTTTGATTTAAATATCACAAACATCTTACGTAACCCTCGACTCTTTAAGGACGACTCTTTGATCTCAGCCAATTATAGTCTCAGTTTCTCTGCTCTTTGACGTGTGCAGCAGGTTTCAGAGTTGTGGAAGCTTCAGTCTCCCATACATCAGCCGCACAACTATTTCACTGTCAATCACAGCTCGTCTCTGCAGTATTACATAACTACACAACGACAGCAACTGTTGCTCCAAACAGAGGAGTGCATCCCTGAAACACTAAACAGAGGATCCGACCCAAACATGTCGTCAACACAGGATTTATGTTACATATCGTTGTACTCCACTTAACAAAGCTGTATAATCTGTCTGCGTTACGTTCTGTCCTCTCTGACGGAGGTAAAGCTTTGTTTTTCAAAGTTGCATCTCATTTTGAAACAAAGCCTTCACTTGTTGTTTGGACCCTTTCTGTGGATCCAGCAGACGTCAGAACACAAGCTGTGAGAGACGCAGAATTTAGCAGCTCATTTGTTGGCGTGTCTTTGTCCTTAAAGAGCCGTCTGAGGGTGCAGTAAGTACAATATATAAAACACAAGGTACAATTGCACTTCTTTTATAGAGTAAAAGAGAAGGAGTGTAAGAGAGGAGTGAAGGGAATGAGTCATTTGGGGTGAGCTCCTCCTCTTTTGCTGGCTGCCTGGGTAATAATACATGTTAGAGGCATACTGTGTTATATGTGCTATACTCTATGCATGGACTATTCTTCTTCTAAGAGACAGTGGCACATCTAGCATCACATGGTATGGCTTGTTCAGATCAAAGTGGACAGTGGTGAGAGGACGGATGGGGCCAGCAGTGTCAGGTTGAGTTCAGGTTCAGATACTCGCAGGTCATCTGGGGAAAAATAACTCGCTAACAATTTTATCACTCTTTTCTTTTTCCGCCAGCTGAAAACCAAATTGTTGATTCTTTTTACTGGCTGCTGACAGACAGACATGTAAAACATGACATAGTCTGCGTTGTGAACGGCAACCCAAAATACACTGAGGTCACCACTGATCTAAAAATATCTTCGATAAGAACCAGGGAATAAGTGTTCACCTCACCAGCGAGCATTTCCCCCCTCTGCGCAGGAATTAGATTACAGACTGAAAATATGCTCTTAGCAGAAACACCCTTCCTCTCTAATCTGACGTGCTCAAAGTCTCAGAATCCTCATCACTGAGTACAGGACGGGCTTTTGGTACAGTGCAAAAAGGCCAATGTAATATATCAACCTGTTTTCATTCCCATGGCGTCAAATCAAACCACACTGAAGGCACCCTTTAGCGTCTTTAGGAGACACGTTGGGTTTTTAACTAACTCTAATATAAACTGCAGCAACACCTGGTTTAAAACCAAAAGTCAGTGTTGTTAAAACATATTCATTCATTCATTCGTTATCTGTAACCACTTATCCTGCTACAGGGTCTCAGGGGGGTGGAGCCTGGAACACCCTGGACAGGCCGCCAGACTCTCACAGCCTTTTTAGACCTGGTGCGTGCGTACCATGTGTTTGGGTGATCTGAACACTAGTGGACAGCCGAGACACATCACTGTTCACTCCTGAGCCTCTCATGTGTCTCCAGCCATCTCAGATTTTGTCACCGCCCTGCAGTTATTACATCACACTTTTGCTAGCTGCTCTGTAGCATGCGCGCTAGTCACATTAGCAGTTGTTTCAGAACAGCTGGAGATATCGCTGTTGGAGCAACACACTGGTTTCAAGGTGTACAGTGACATATAAGTTGACGCTTATCGTACCGTTTATATTTGCTTATCTACGATATTGGGGAAAAAAAAAAAAAACAGAGAGAATCTCCTCTTTGTTTGAGATATTGTCTAAGTCATCATAAAATGGACAGCTTATAGAGTGTTAGTGCATCACTCAAACTACCACCACGTCCTACACTGATGACATAGTCCTTGTCAGGGACGCATCAGGACACAGATATGTGGTCAAATGTGTCTCAGACTGTCTTGGTGGTCGTTCACAGGTTGTCCACTTGTGATGGGATCACCCAAAAAGCCTGTTAATACCAGGTCTAAACAGGCTCATAGAAACAGACGACCTTTTACTCTCATGTTCACACCTTCGGGCAATTTAAGGTCACAAAGTAACCTAACCTGCTCGTCTTTGGACTGTTGGAGGAAGTCTGAGAAAACCCACGCTGACGTGAAGAGAACATGCAAACTCCACACAGAAGGGCTCCAACCAGCCGACAGGTTTACACCCTGTCACTGTGAGGCGACAGTGCTAACCACTGCACCACTCTGCGAACTCTAACCTAACGTTTGTTGCCGACTGTTTGACAACATTAATCATGTGTTTCAGCTGTGTGTCACACGGATACGTTAAAGGACGCCGTGTGATAAAGTGTCGGTATTTGACGACCTGGTTAAAAAAACAGGTTGAACATATCGTACCATTGTAGCAGCAGCATGTGCACATTTCTTTGTGCATTTAAATGTTCCTTTGTATCAATTCACTCGAGTCAAACTTGGCGCCACGTGACCCAAAGACTGTTGATTAGTCTGTGTGTTACACTGCTGACCCCATGATGAATAAAAGCCATTACATCTCTAGAGACTGCAGCAGGGTTCCTACACCTTTTCACCTTCTACTCAGCTACCACACTTTGACTCTGAACTGCTTGTTTGGTTTGATATCACAAGTTATAATTGATCATACGACCCCGACAACAACACAAGTTCTCTACTGATGGCTCAGCAAACACGTTTCAGATCTGTGTAGGAACCCTGACAAGAGGAAGACATGCATAGAACATGAGTGTGACTCACGGACGCAGAGCTAACAGTAGCAGAACTACTCACTGAAACAGAACATCTGATTCTCTGCAACATCACACGGCTGATTCAAAGCCGGACGCCTTTCACTAAAGGCTCTACTCATGTTTACCCGACCCTAACCAACACTGAGTCTAGCTTTACCCACGGTATTTCATTTCCCCTCGTCCAACCCAAAAGATAAACACGGGAATGTTCACATTTAAACTAATATAACAACAAATTCTTATTGTTGACCAAATGGTGAAATGTGTGATTCACACCTGGTTGCAGTGAGGCGAGGCTTCACTTCACTTCCTGTGTCTCACTGTTAACTAGCAGCATCATCATGAACAGAATACAGTGCTTTGAGGGAAGTTTCTGCTGGACGTGTAACCTCAGTGAGTCAATGTGGGTCTTGAGGCCTCGGCTGTTTTATAACTACGACACTCTGCTGCAGAGACTGAACTCTGCTTTATTGCACTTTCATTAGATTCACTTTAGGAGTCTTAAAATAAAGCACCGGGATGGCGTTTAGCTATGTGATTAATGGCATCATTCATCAGTTGTCTGCAGCCAACAGGCTGTCCAATGTTTACAGCTCTATGGCCAAGCGCTCCCTCTGCTGCAGCGTGGCACGCAGACAAGATAACAGGTGGGCCACGGATTGGGTGACAACAGAGGAGGAGCGATTCTTGAGAAACCCCACCAGGGAGCCCACCAGAATCACACGGCTATCCATGCCTGTCCAGAAATAGAGGCATTAATTTGCCAACTGTGATAAACAGAAACACACAAGCTGTAGGAGTGTGCGCTTGGAAATTCCCTTCAATTGTGAAAGTCTCATAGCTGGCAGGCTTAGTGGCGTAATCACATCGGTTTAAATGTGGAGTCTCGTGTTGCGTTATGTTTCAGATTTGTCTGCAGTTGTGTGCAACTCTCATCTCTTGACAAACGTGTCTTAATTTGAATCAACACAAGCGACCACACTTTCATTTGATAAACATGATCCCTAACTCGCACAGTGTGAACTGTACAGTCAGTGGTGCTGCAGCAGGAAGAAAGGCAAACAGCCACGCCTTGACATAACGGGTTCTGATGGGTGATGTCATCATTTAAAAGCTCCTCTGCACTCAACCTTTTTCTGCCACCAAATTAGGAAACAAAGCTACATAGTACATAGATAATGAGCAGACTTTAAGCAGCAGCTCCTGCAGATGCTCGTGGTGTGAACACACATTGACCGTTCTATTGGAGTGTTCAGTACATGACCCCTGTGCCCCCACCCACCCCCCCCACCCGTCCCTCCCACAGCAGTTCCCTCAGAGTGAAGTAAGACAGATGGAGGCAGCGGACATACAGACAGACTCTATCATGGATCAAACAGGTCGGGCTGTCCCTGCAGCTCCAGCTGACGGTTGAATAGCTCGATCTCCTTGTTGGCCTCGGTGAGGTACTCTGTGATGAACTCCTCCATGTCTGCAGTGACGATGATGTCAGGGAAACAACTGCACCATCACACAGCAGGAAATACAGACACAAGCAGACCTGCATGATGAAGATCACTGCTGTCTTTAGGACAAAAAGTCAAGTTTCTGTTACTGCTGTGCGGTATACTGGTTCAGCTGGTAAACTGTGATATTAATTTTACATATACCGTTATACCGCTGCAGAGCTGAGTCAGTTACTAGAGTGCGTCAGTAAACAGGACAGAGCGCCACAGTAATGAGACACTGTACTGAATGGGAGAGAGGAGCTCTATCAGCTGCACACATTCTTACTGTGATACACAGTGAAACTGCCAGAATCTTAAAAAAACATGGTGCTACAAATGTTTGGTCAAACTGCCCACGCTAGTCTTTATCTGCATTCGTCAGTGAGCTGACTCACATCGACTGTTTGCATATCAGGTACATTACTGTTAAACAGCTGATTTAAATGTACTGGTTTCTTTTTGTAGCATTTAAAACATAAAAATATCCAGTCCTCCAAACCTGAGAGAAAAATCAGACGCAGTTGAGGTTCAACCACGATGAAAAGGATACTGGGATGGATGTTCCTTTTTTCTCCAAAGATGTCAACATATTGATAACCGTTGTAGAAGTAGCCTGGTGGTAGAGGGTCCAAGTGTCGGGTCATCTACAGAAGAACACAGAATATGAGGTTCAGTGGAGGTTACTGAGTGAGAACACCACATCAATAACGGTCCGACCCAGCCCCAGCTCTCTCTGAAGATCGGGAAAATCTCCAAAGCAACAAACATACATGAGACCACCAAGACAACATGAGCAAATATCTGCTGAGGCTTCTATAAAGCATCAAAGATTTCAGACTCTCTGCAGCATTTATTGACAATGAACTTTAAGGTAGTCTTGTAAACAAACACAGTTATGTTTACAGTCACTGTTTGTCATAAAGCATAGATCCATGTTTCCTCGAGGCTGAACAAGCATGCTGGATGCATTTTATTCCACACGCTGGCAGAGTGAGTTTTTGGGAATATTCTGAAACAGAGGTGTCACATTAAACCCGTATGGTTAATAAACTGTAATATTCAAGTAAAACATTTGTATCCTGTTAATAATACACATGATAATATTGTGTTAATAATCCAACACCTCTTAAATGATTTCCGTGTCTTTCCTTCCTCACTTTGTCTCCCTCCAACAACGCCATCTGGTTTCCTTTTCACCGCCCATAAAAGGGTAAGTTCTTTATCTTTCAATGTTTTTGTGTCCAAGTGACTAATGGGAAAAACATTTTTGAAACTGGTCCAATATGGAGTCAGACGGCTGCAGCCAGAGATGGCGAAATGGGCTGCAATGTAACCTCTCGGGTCATGTTCACACTGTCAGTGTGCGTCCACTAACAGTGCTTGTTTTTGTCACTGACAGGCTCAGACTGTTATTCTAAGTGTGTGACAACATTATGAAAGGATCCCTACAGAGATAGAGCTTTGTGTTAAAGAGTCAGATCCTTTTTGTTTCACCAGAAACAGCCCTGAAATCACCGTCACCAAACCCACCAGACTGCATTTAAATAAACAGTCATGTTAGTGTGTACAGAATCCGAATATCGTCACAGCTGACCCTCATGAACAGCTGAATGAAAGTTTTGTTCTGTTTCTGTTGACTTTGAATGAAATGTGTTTTACAATTATACAATCATATTTATTTAAATAGAATCTGGTTACTCAGGGTTCTTACAGCGAAGGGAAAGTGGGATTTAAGACTTTTAAAGACTTTTTTAAAGCCACTCAGAATAAATTTAAGACCAATTTTCCAGTAGCCACAATTGAAGGAAAAAATAAAATGAACCAACATCACCTGCTCAAAATGAGCGAGAATTCTGCCCAAATATATCTTGTAACATAAAACTTACTGGTGATTTTAATGTAAGAGGCATTTGGGTAAATTATTATTATCTTTTTTTAAGTTACTCATTATTTTGAGCTTTTAAAACGCAATGTCAATAATAAAGCTTACAAGTCTTTTTAAGACTTTGGAAAGATTGGTTTAAGACACTTTGATGCCAATTAAGGTTTTATTTTATTCTTTTTTATTTTTCCTTTAAAGACTTCTTAAGGATCTGCAGGAACGCTGGTTACTGGTTTAAGAAAATCATCTATCTCTGTTGGGATCCTTTCCATAAGTTGTCAGACAGCAATGAACTCTTGGCCGTAATAATCATGTGGTGACAATCTGACATTGTGCCAGCCCTTTTTTGAAACCTGCATTGTTTACATCCACATTTATGAGTCTTCCTCATCTCCATCTTCTGCTGACGCACTGCTAAATTTCTCCCAGCAACTAAACATGAAACCAGCAGCAGGGACGTGCACATGTGCATTGCGTGCATGCTCGTAATTCAATATAGGAACAAACAAAGCAGGTGCTGGCTCATGGAAACAGTTGACAAAACTCCACAGCGCAGCTTTAATGCTGTTCTGTCCACACAAAGTTCCACCACATGTAAACAGAAAATTTAACCATAGATAAAAACACACTCACATGTATGTTCTTGATTTCTTGTGGTGAAAGGTTATTTTTAGTCTTCTTCGGCTTCTTTGTCTGCCTCTGGAAACACAAACACAGCCCTGTGGTTACACTGCTTACTTTCTTATACTCAGGGCTCCAACACATTTTTACCAATGAATGTTCAAAACTCTTCCTCTATATTTGACCCATTTCAATGACTTTGAATAGTAATAAATGGTCTGTATAATGATGCAGCTTTACATTGTTAAACACACACACTTCCCAGGCATTTGCGGATAAGCACACTGCCAGTGCTTCCTAACTTTACTCACTGGTTAGACATTGTGCCACTAACTGGCTGCATACGCCCACTGCCAACAGACCAGGCCGGCACATACAGGTACTTCACAAAAGGTCTCGGCCACACCCCTTTATGGGGGCTAGAAAACTGAAGATCATGTTGAAGCAGTTTGACGTGTGTTTAGATTATGATTTAGACTCAGGGTGAGAGCCGTGGTTAATTGCAGGGTTCCTACACATTTGGAATTTCAAAATTCCATACTTTTCCATACCCTTATTTCCACCGCTGTTTTTTTTTTTCTTTTTTTTTTTTCAGAGAATATGCTGACATCTGATTAAATATATCAGTGTATCATATTTCACATCATATTTAATTATTCTTAACAGGCGATTGTAGCCAAGTACCATAATGGCATGCAAATAAAAACTCAGGTAAGTTCAATGTCTGGGCTGAGGCAAAAAGGTTGGGACTCTGGGTGCAAGCGATGCAGTAACGAGACGTCGGCGTTTTTTCCTTTCATGTGGCTCAGAATCGCCTTCTCCCCCATGTTGGCGATGTCAAACGATTTCACACAAAGCTTGCATCTAGCTCTGCGTGTGAATTGGGAATCCTTGGCCAACCAGTATTTATATACGGTATTGTCAAGCCATCCATCCAAAAACTTGCATCTACCCACTGTGAACCACGTGAAACTCGTCTTCTTGTCGAAGGTGCAGTGTTGGAGTGAAACCTGATACCTGGGGGGCTGGAGGAGGGTCATGGGGCAGCGGACTGGACATACCACTTGTCAGTCAGGTAAAAGGGGTGGTATGTTTTCTGAGACGTTTGCTCGCACACAAACTGTGCCTGGCCTGGCATAAAACATGATCCGGATTGATTAAATTATTTTTGGAAATACCTAATTTTCTATTTTAGAAAACAGTATTTCAGAACAGTGGTAATAGTCTGGAAACATAAATATTTTTCCATACTTTATTTTTCATTTTCCATACTTTTTAATACCTGGAAACTGATCAAATTTATTTCCATACTTTTCCATACTTGCGCAGGAACCCTGTTAATTGGCTACACAACAGTTCTTCTGCATTTTCCTGTTTCTCTTCCGATGTGACAGCTGAACAGGGATGACGTTTTTCTGTAGGCCGACCCTGAAGTTAGCGTCACTCTGGTTCCCTCGTCAAAAAAACCAACAGATTTTTTTCATTGGATTTTGGATTATTGCAGAAAATAAAAGGACAAACAAACGTTTATGATACTTAGAGGTTTTGTTCGGCAAGATAATCTTCACACACGCACACCACTTCATGATTATTGAAGCCTAAATTCAATCACGTCACCGTCATAACGAGGCTGTGAAGTCGTGTTTGGCATGATGACGTTCTGTAGTCTCATGTAGCCACTTGTTAGCAACACAGAAAAGCTTCTTAAGTCTCAGAGGGGGATTTACTGACGTATTTTATGTGGTAGAACAAAAGGTGAAAGTCTCTTCAGCTTGGTGGAACCACAGACCTTATTTTAGACACCTAACCGAAATCACACTGACCTCAAGTCGAGGAAACAGGAAGTGCTGACATGCTAACTCATGTCTGGGTTTTAGGACTCATTCCTGATGTGCTCTATTCTTTCCTTTCAAAGGGGGCGTGGCCTTGGCGTCAACGCAGTGTTGGTCTGGTCTACGTGTCTCTCATGACGTTTCATTGGTCACTCGACGCAGCACTAGATTTGAATTTAGTGACACTCAGAATGTATTTTGCCTCAGGTTACGTGTGTTTTGGGATTTTCATGAACATATTTTGAACAACAGCCAAACAATTTATATTCAAAGCTTTTCCAAAACATTCTGTTCATTTCAAAACATATTCAGGACTTTCATGACCATGAGAACCTGTAAACAGTTTATACAGAGGATACACACAAGGCTCAGTGTGGACTGCCATCCAAAACAGTGAGGCTATTTAAATGTCTACCTGCTTGGCGCAGAGTCTGAGCCAGTCCTTTAGTCCGTCCTCAGTGAGGCCGACACCATCAAAGACCAGGAAGCAGGACGTGTTGGTCTCTTTGGGGCCCGGGGTCAAAGGGTCACTGCTCTGCACTGGGACGACGCTCAGGTTCCCTCTCACTGTGTTGTAGCTCACCTCCATCAGCTGGTCTGAGTCTGGAGGTGCCAGAGATGAAGCAGTTCACAGTTCACACCTTGTGTAACACCTGCTGCAGCGACATGCTGTTGGCGGGCTGTGAATGTTTTAACATCTATACAACCTCTCTGTTCCCAAAATGGCTCACAGAACTCACGTGTGGTAAAAAAACAAGATCAAACATGTCAAATATGTTCTGACTTAATATAAAATATATTTAATAAATGCAAACAAAGTAAAATAAGTAAATATAAAGTGATGTAAATGATACTCTACCCTAAACACAGTGACACTGAGGGAATGTGCGTATTAGCATAAGGATGGTACGGTACAGTCTCCACATTCGCTCCATACTACTACCTCCCAGCTCTCTACAAATATCTGCACACTCTCTGCACATCTCCTCACAGCACCTGCACTCGCTCCTCATGCAACAGCTCTACACAGGTCTTCAAATGAAAGAGTGAGAAAACTATGTGGAGGAAACCAAACCGTGGACTATGAGCTGAATTCTAAACACCAGACACCAGAGCAACAAGCGAGCAATATTCCTACCGTCAGGAGCTTCTCGCCTGCCTTGAGGGCAACCTTTGCTCTAATAATTCCCCAAACTGGGAAATGTAAATGCAGGTCAAATATTTACCAGGGAAAGAAGTCACATTTGTTTAATAATGCTTCACAAAACCAAGATCTCTGGGACTCAAAATCTGATCTGAAAACACCAAACGTTAGCAACATGGCAAAATAAAATGAAAACAAATCAACCCTACCAGAAAATCTGACTTTCCCCCAAACGTTGTACATGTTTCCTCTGAAGGGGCTCGGCCTCAGCGATGACTTTAATGCTACAGAAAAATGAAATGAGTTTCAGTTGTTAGTGCTGTCAGACAATTTAAATGATCAGTTTCCTGAAAAGCAGACTTGGCAGCGAGATGTCAGAAGTGCATTGTTTGGAAATACAGATTGTTTCACAGCAACAGCAGACAATCACTTTGAGGCCTCACTTGTCTCCATATTTGGAGGGAAAGGCTGCTTATGTAATTATTGTGAAACACTGCCAGCTCATATCTGGAACTTCTGTCATGTGCAAGAGTCAGAAAAGGGGGGAGAATTCCTTTCCGTCTCACCTTTGCAGCGGGCGACAAACAGAGGCCTCTCCAGGGGCCGGCTAAAAGCCACGCACTGCTGCGTGAGGACCAGAGAGCCAGAACCGGTGAAGAAGCGCCCTTTGCACCTGAAACACATGACACATGCACATTACACAAATGGTGAGAAAGTTAAGTCGAGAGCAAGCCAAATGTTTGTGCTACATTTTGTCTTTGGCTGCAGACTTGTTTACTCTACCAGCTGCTCACAGGAAAGAGGCCAGTGTGTGTGATTCGCTGGTAAAAGTGGAAGTGGATGATAAATCTGTAAACGTAGACACTGTCATCAGCAGGTATAAAAAAGATTCCTGTCCTGGTCCAAAGGTTAAGGACGTGTACGAAGCATCTTAAATGCACTCACATACACGTACACAGGAAATAAAGCCTGAAGATGAGTAAATCAAAAGGGCCAGACTGGGGCCAGATATCCAGTGTATGATCTGAGGGGAGGATTTAGCAGAGGTTCATATTAGGCTGACCACTGAGGCATGAAGGCTGAATGGACCTGGTCCAAAGGGAAGGAGACCCCCTCTGTGTACATGGCAACTGCATGGCCAACAGCTTGTTACTGTGCTGCCAGGAGGCAGCTGGTGATAGAACACAAGATGCCCTGAGGGGCTTTACAGCAATCAGCAGCCGATACCCCCACCGCTGCAGCAGAGTGGCAATTAAACTGCAGGGAGGGAGGCCAGGCAGGATGCAGGAATGCTGAGGCAGGAATCAACATCAATCTGTCGCTCAGCGGCCAAAGGTTGACTGTGGACACAGGAGGACGCACCGGGGTCACAACCAGAGGAGTGGACACAGGGTGAAGGTCTTACCATCCAGGGTAGAGGACGTAACATGCTCTCAGCATCTGAGGCTCATTGAAGCTGCTCTCAGAAAATATCAGGTTCACATCTTCATTCCTGAGTGACACAGAGAAACAACACAGAATCAATACACAACACTTGACCTGTACAAATATCCACAGGAGTAGATTCTGGGGGGAGCAGGGGACATGTCCTCCTCAGTATTAAGAACATGTGTATTTGTTCCCTCCAATAAAAGTATTAAAGAAGCAGAGGACTTTTATTTTGACAAAATGAAAGACATTTCCATCGTATGTTGATTAGGCTGCAGAATAAAAGCCGAAATGATAATCAGGATTAATGTGATTGATAATGAGATCACAATTATTTCTCAAAAGTTTTCACTCTTTTAAGGGATCAAATATTTAATTGTACTTTAACATTTAAATAAACAGAGCGCTGCTTTCACTTCCATGTTGTGCTACATTCCTGCTAATTAAAAAAATAAAGGTTCTTTACCTTAAAATAAGGTTCTTTACCTAAATTCAGTGCATCTCTTACAGACGCATCTCCGCCGCTGTATTATTTTTTACAGCCATCACAGAATCATGACGCACTGCATAACGGCGCTATTATGAATGTCTGAATCACACTGAACAAGGACGAGGATTCATTGAGCTGACGTTAGTGTTCTTCTCCTCGGCCTTCATGTGTTCATTGTAGAGTTTTCAGGTGGTTTAACAGGTTGGTTTTCTTGCAGTCTTGCACACTCCTTACATATGATTTGTTCTCTCTCATATCTGAAATAGCTCCAAACGACGGATGATGGTGGTTGAAGAATGGATGATTTCCATTCTGCCCGTCTGCAGTCAAAATATTAAGCAAAGTTTTCCACAGGCTGCTGCTGCAGGCAGCACATGTAGTTAGGGAAGCACTTGATTTGATGTGGACAGAGTTTTCTATGAGCGGAGCGTTTTAAATGTCAACATCACAGCTGATCATGTTCGTTTCATTGTGAGAAGCCAAAATCTTGATCAGAAATAAATTCGACAAGCTATGCAGCCCTAACATTGATGGAGAAAAAGCAGAAATTGGTGCAGAAAAATTCACCAGAGTGCAGGAAATGAAGTGTGTGATGCTCAGAAACCCAAACCTAGAAATGAAACTTGCAAATATGTGTACAAACATGTGCAAATATAACACAAAAAACAACAACACATAACTACTTATGAATATGCCCTTTATCCACAATGGGCTTTAAATTACAAAACTGAAATACTCTTTAGGTACAGGATGCACTGGGAAACACTGATGACACATTGCTGTATGAATGGAGCACAGCTCTGACCCAACAGATGCAGACAGACTCAGAAAGTGGTGAATATTTTAGGAAAAGATAAAAGCAGTTAAATGACTGGTTGCAGCATTGATCATGATTCTGTGGGCGCCTACCTGGTGACAGCTCCTCTCTCTGCCAGTATGAAGGCTGCGGTGGGGTTGGCAGAGCGTACCAACTGCTGAACATGCTGCATGAGAGGGTGCTTCTGCTCTGCTGTCAGCCCGGTGAACACCACTGTACTCACAATACCTGACATGTAACGAGGCACAAAAAGGGAATATGAATTCCTGCAGAAACTGGCTCACTTTCCTGAAAATACAGAGACACATCTGCGCAGCCACAGCAGATATATCTCACACTGGGTTTGATTTATTGCTGTTCCTGCTGCTCTGTTCTACCTGTGAGCTCAATTTTTAGGGAAATTGACATTTCGATTCCTTCAGAACGATTCCTGAAATATAAAAGGCAGAATAAATAAATCTGTGACAGCCTGACTTCCTTCCCACTACCCAAATTGGGATTTTTTCTAGTTCCAGCCAAAAAGGATAATAAGGATGACTGCAGTAACCCAAAATAAAATCTTCAGTATGTCACTGCAGAACACAAGATGGAATGTGAAGCGTGTGTTCTCGAACGTGAAGTGATGGTCGGGGTAATGGCTGCTAAACGTATCCTTGGTTGGCCCTCGAGGTTTTGTTTTCACAGTGTCTCTGTTAATCCTCAACTAAAGCATTTAACAACAATAGTAATGGAAAAAACTACACAGAGTGTAATGTTTTCACCAGCACTGAGAGTTCAGGATGGAAAACACAACCTCCAAATGTTTATGCTTTCGGAATCAGAGTTTATGCTAGACGTTTTTTTTTTAAGGCCAACATGGCCGTTCATATTCCAGAAAATCCAGCCGTAAAGAACAACTGCCGCCGTATGTTTTATAGCCATATAATTACACTTAAACAGCAACAAAACACTTCAAATTAAATAACTTGAAATGAGCTAACTGGGGATAAAACAGAACAGATGCTGGAACTATTGCAGCAGATCGGAGAGCCGGCCATGGAGCACGGGGCAGGTGCTCGTGACCCTCAAACTCGGGGCCGGTAACCACCAAGCCCTCTATTCACCCTCTATTCACCGTCTGGCTTGCTGTGGTGAAGTGCAGTGAATCTCCCATCTGTTCTACCAGCACACAGACCTGTGGGGTGTTGGAGGTCTTCCTGGAGAACGTGATCCGTGATGCCATCACCTAACTACACCAAACACACTGAAGAAGACAGTGATTGCCGTGGATGTGGCGTGTGCTCTGAAGAGGCATTCTGTACTGCTTCAGTGAATAAACCCATCCGTTGGTAATTAATGTATGAAAATCTGGTCTGCACAATTTAAGTTAATATTTTAGCTGCCTGGGCAACATACGTTATAGATCACATCATATTGGCCATTTAATATGCTATCAATGATTAATATTTAACATATTTCCCATCTGCCAGACAACTTCACGTGATACCGGCCAAAAGTCGACATATACCGGCGAACATAAACTCTGCCTCGAACATGTGACTTGTAAGGCTGGAATATCACACATTCCACGTATGCTAACACTGCATCATGCCAGGATCATGTTTCCCATCAGCTGTTGGTCACATTTATGCATTTTTGTCTCTCTCTACTTCTGAGTGTGTATTTGGGATGAAAAAGGTTACAAATCACTGATTTATGATGGACTTAGATTTTCTCCTTAGAACAAAATGACTTTGATATTTGTGGACTATGTTCAGGGGTGCAGCACAAAATTCTGTGACCTCCCCTCGTGCAGGGGGGACAAAACAATTTTGGCTGCAGTGTAATTCTTTCTTTCTTTTTTGATCCTCCCCAAAACTACAAATATTGAAAATGCATGATGCTCCCTCCACCATAAAAGAGTTATTTATGATTATCTCCTTTGCCAAAATAAAAACATAAGCCCCTCCCCAGTGCTTAAAAAAATATTTGACATATTCACAACGCCCCTCTCCATGTTGAGAAATATTTACAATTTCTCCTTCTTAAACGGTCAGAGACTGACTCGGGGGCTCGGGGGTCGTGTATGTTACTGTGCTGCTGTGTTAGCTGCCGAGGAGAGTCTGTAGCTACACAGCGGCTTGTTCTTTGGCTCAGTGTGTTTTTATCCACCACTGCCTCTCACCATCGTCTTCATAATTAACAGTTAAACCGAAGTGGTTCCAAACACCAGACCTGCAGGTTATCAGAGCATCTTCTATTTCAGGTCTGGTAATGTCGTTACTAATCATCTTGTAACGAGCTAGCTTAGCGAAGCTCCATCTCAGTGCAGCAGAATGATCTGGTTTGGGGGTGAGAGGGGCAGACAGCATGTGACCTGTTGGTCCTGTGGGCTGCCTTATTAAACACATTAAATACTGCTTAAGCTGAATATCTTATTTTCCAAATGTGATAGGATAGTTCAACGTATCGTTCGGTCTGTGATGCGTACAGCACGTTTCAATACAAGTATGTGTTGTTACATCCTTAATTAATATTTGTAAAACCCACTTACAGACTTAAACAGTGACTAACAGCACTGAGTTATGATAAAAAAAATAAACATGACATAATATGGAGATACAAGGTTTCTGCCCTACAGCAACAACATATTATCTCCTGACTTTGTGTTTGTGTTGATGTCACTCTGCTGTGAGAATATGAATGTATATGTCATTTTTGTCACACGTGTAACTTCTCCTCTGACTTAGTTTGATAAAAGAGAAAGATTTCTTGACCTTTAATGGTTATAATGGTTATGATGGGAATAATGGTTGTAATGGTTATGATGGGAATAATGGTTATAATGGTTATGATGAACAACCTGACAGCATGACATGTGTTCAAACAGCTGCGTTAGACTGCTTCCAAAAAGCATAACACTTCTGAGGAAATCAGTATCAATGAATATAAATCTGTAAATCATGAAATAAGTTTTCCTAATGCATTTTGTTGTTGGGAAGCTGGAGGACAGACAGACAGACAGACGGGCAGACAGACAGACTGGCAGACTTACCTTGGCTGCACTGTTCCAACAGTTTAGGAAATGCAAACCTGCAGAGACAGACGGGACAGCAGAACTTCAGTAAAACACACAGTAGACTAAAGTACAGGGTGAAGACTGACTGTCAAGCTGCTTTCACACTGCCTGTTCAAGGCAGGAATACGGCGCCATTGTCTCACCTCACTGTGCTGTCTATAAGGTTCGATCACAAAATGGTGGGACAGAGCTGTCTTGCCTTTAATCCACCATGGGAGGTAGTAACAATGTCAAAACATTGTCTGTATAAACAGGCAGCTGCATGAAGGGACTATGGACAGGATGGGTGTGAGGTTTTGATCACGTGTTATGTGTGCAACTCCCCAACAGGAGATTTAAAAAGTAGCCGTTAGCAGCTAATTCAAAGAAGAAGAACAGCAGCTGAAAATGTCCACAAACAGTGAAAACAATGAGGTCCAGGAGCTCCTTACCCTCTGAGCAGAGGACGAGATCAGCCGCCATATAACAGGGACCCTAAATGATTGTTATTGACATGTGATGTCATTGTTATTGTTTATAAAGAGCTGCTGACACGTATGTTATATGACACACTAGAGGCTGATGTGGTCGTGTTGTTCTGCCATGTCATCATGCTGTCTAAAATCAGACACTGGAGCCACATTATGGCACCATCGTTTGGTTCTGTATAAAAATGCAAAGCAGGCATAAAGAAGGGACTCTGTAGCGGCTCTGTGGTGCCGTCTGTGTGTAACAAGGACTTCAGCCATCAGTCAAACGCAGATTTAGTTGGACTCAGATGTTCACTGCTGCACTGTGGATAGATAATGTAGAAAATAGGAGTTGTTAGAGAGCTGTGTCTTTATTTTTATTTAATTAACAGTCCTGTTTAGTGTAACCCACGTCAATGGGTGCTTGCCAGACTTGTGCAGCAATAAACAGCCTGATTCCGTGTTATGGCTCTTGGCTGGTGATCCGGTTATCAATCGTGAGGCATTTTTCATAGGATGACATCATGACTGTGACTGGCAACTGACCAATGTAAAAGCTTTCTGTAATCTCATTTAATCTTAACATAATTTATCCTCAGTTTTCAGATCGATCAGTGTTATACAGCACTTTCTGAATAACAGTTCTGAGCCAAGTCCCCCTCCAACCACCGCCGACCCTCCCCTGCAGGCCGGGGGATCAGCAATCTGAAAGGCATTTATCTTTCCTGTCCTGATGTAATGGACTGTCTACATTCATCACAAAGAATGGATCATGACTGACTGATGAGCTTCGCTGAGGAGGGGGTGTCGGGTGCACATGTGGACCTGGGGGATTAGAGGGCTATGCTGAGGGGGTTGACAGGCAGGTCAGGCCTAAGCTGGGCTAACCATACCCAATTAACGCCATAGTGGGGGTCCGCACATCTCCACACAATCTATGGCAACAGACAGTAATAGGGGGCTTGTTGAAGATGCCTCACATGGAAAAGTCAGTGCTAACCACATTGCTAACTAAACCTCTTATGACACATTTTTCCACTGCTGAGCCGAGCGGGGCTCAGAGTTTGACTGGAGGGTCGTCGCAATGCGTCGAAGCTCAGGATCCAAAACAGGGTGAAAGATTTATTATTAATAAATTATTGTTAAAGCTCAGCTCAAGAAACAGTCATCTCATCTCAAGGACTCTAAGAGTTTTCATGGTAGAATTTTTTTTCTGCAAATATGCTCCAGTATTGATGAGTGTTACTGCAAAGAAATAAGTCATTACATTTCAACCTGTTACCAGGGCGTTTGTACGGGAGCGTACTGACGCCATGCCAGGAAACAAGAAGCTGATCAGTATCAAGTAATAACAAGAAAAAGTTCTTGTCATAATAAGATGTTTTTCTCATTTTTACAACATATTTTCATGTCACAAGAAACTTTTCTTTTTTTGTAATGAGAAAAGTTTCTTGTTACCACGAGATGTATTCATGATGTAACAAGAGAATTTTCTAACATAACATGAAGTAGTCTTAACATGAAAATATTTTGTAATAACGAAACTTTTCATGTTATTATCTGATACTGTTTCTTTAATTTCTGGCCTGGCAGTTTTATGCTTCCGTACATGTGTCATAACACCTGCTGGCTTTTCGATTACATTTCTGGTGAAGACAGACGGCAGCATGTTGTAAAAACACGACCCTCCACACTGACTCCATCTGTATGTACGTGTCACTAGCTGACGCAGCTTGGCTGTGCAGTGGAAAACAGCCTATTACCCGGAGTGGTATGTCACATTGTGCGGAGCTGCTCAGTCAATCTACGACGGTGAGAAGCTCTGTAAGCTACATCTAAAGCCTGTAACAAAAGGAGAGTGAGATTAAATGTAGGACTGATCCTCTGTGTAAAAGGGACCCAGCCTTGAGTTTTAATAACTCAAAGTGTCATGTAACCTCTTCCTGGAAACCTCCAGTGCTTCGACAGTTTATCAGCATCCAGCCCTGTCTGTCATCATCTGTCCATGTCAAACCTTTAACTTGAACCTCGGGTTCAGTCACTGGTGTGTTTCAGCTTCTTGAGCCTCTTTAACTTTGCAAAATAGGCCAAATACATATTTGTTGCTGGTTGCATGAAGCTACATCTGCATACAGTCTCGGTAAACAAATGATACAGGCACCAACTGTGCTCGGAACAAATGGGAGCTATTCCTGGTGAAAACGTATGTTCTAGGAGAATGTGAAGCTTACGGACAGGTAGCAGAATAAGGGATCGTGCTGCAGGAGTGATTTGAGTAGTTTTTATTGTGAAAGTGGGTCACCAAATCCATCGTCACTGCTGTGAATCCTGTTTGAATGCAGCTGCTGTCCTCTGCGAAGCAGCAAGTCACAAACTTTTCTGAGCCACGTCTACAGGTGGTTAGTGTCTGCTACTCATTTCATAGATTTCTGGTGATGTATTCTTGAACATGCTGTTAATCCAGGCGTAATACGTACAGCTGTTTCAAAGTAAAAGCCTTTCAGTCATCGGGAATTTGATAAAAACACTGGCACAAAGCAGGAAGCGCTGTCTGAGTGTGTTTACTGTGAAGCAGCTGCAGGATTGAGACACATACTAAAGTACTGAGTTTGCTCAGTGCAACTGCATCTATAAATTGTTTTTGGATCAGAACAGAAAATAACCGAATTACTCATCTTTTATCACTGAGGTCATTCAGTATATTGTTATTATTTTATGCTGAAGTTCAAAAATATGTAAGTTGAAAATGATTTTCACTCACACAGCAAACAATTTCAGAAGCTTTTCTTCTACATGTACAATGTCACATTCATAGCTTGAACTGTACAGTGATGTCTTTGTTTGGTCTTATCATCATCCATCACACTTCACTTAGTTTCTAGTTTATCAAAACACCATTTTCCAGTCTGTGTGATAATCCCATCAGTCAGGGATTTTGTCTTCTGCAGTTAGACATTGTACAGTTTTATTAAATAGCAACTCAGAAACAGGAGCAGCTGGACATGAGTTAATCTGATCATATACATTTCTTTCTGGCAGTGAAAGCTTGTTATGTTTTTTCTAACAGCAGCAGAGTTGAGCCCTGATCTATCAAAGAAAGAGATTTCACCTGTGCTCCACACAGGAGGCGAGGGGGTCCACACAAGCAGTGACCGCGCCGATGGTGAAACACGCTTGGACAACTGGGTCAGGGTGGAAAAGCACAGCCTGGACCACATCCAGAACATCTGTGTATCTGTCCAAGTAGAAACATTTACGAAAGAATACGTCATCTCACACTGACAGAGAACAGTACATTCATTCAATCTTTTCTTTTTTTAGTTTCTTTAAATACTGTCTTATCTTGTTAGATTTGAACACCCAAACATACATAAGGTACAGAGGATCTGTTTCATGTACTGGGATGAAAATGTTAGTATGGAAGACACTGAATGATAGCAGTTAGTTGACATTAATTTCAGGCTGTAGTATTTTTCCATTTAGCTCAGCTCTGCTGGAACTACTGGCGTCTAGATTATTCAGTTCCCAGCTGTATCAGGCTGAACGGCGGGCCTCTTACCCAGGTGAGAGCACCAACAGACGGGGTTTGCCTCCGGGGCTTCTCTGGCTCTCCAGGAAGCTAGACAGATACTGCTGCAGGTGAGAGGCTGAGAAGCTGTCACAGCTGTCAGGACCAGGCTGGTACACCACCCACCTACAAATCAAATTATAATCAAGTTGTGCTGTTTTTGTTTGTGTTGTAAGTCTCGTTATCATTAGAAATAACAAATGTAAACCAAAGAAACAAGTTGGATGAACTCTCTGTCACCTTCCATGTTCCTTGTTTAACTGGACCAGGAAGTCGCAGAGTCTCTTCTTATGGCTTCCTGGTAATCCAGTGATGATGGTGATGACGACCTTTTCACACATCAACAAAATCCCACATCAGATGTGAATTGTTTCAGCCAAATGAAGGATGACAGCAGTGAAAGCAGAAATATTTGTTTTTAAGTTGTTTACGTTTTTCAGATGAGGAAGATCCACCGCACCTTCATCAATATGCTCACCTTGTCTCCCTGACTGTTGACTGGGTTCCTCAGCTCAGCGGAGGGGAAGAGCACCCCCAGGTGGTCAAAAAGAATGGGCTCCTGTCCAATACTACTCAAGGCAAAGTGCTGAAGAAACCTGGCACAGACCAGAATACAGCAGTCAGTGAGCAGAGCTGAGGCACAGCTGAATGCCATGACAAGATTAAAAAAAGAAAATGGGTGCTTTGGGACCGATCATGTATTTGTGAGGCAATAGACAAAAATGAGTGGCACAATTTTACAGCTAATACTTCACACATCCTTAATTCTCATCACAGTTTCTGCAGGACACATTTATATAAAATCACATCATCAGTCTTGGTCTCTTAAAAATGAGACTGATAATACAAAACTGTGCACAAGAGAGCAAGTTGTTTTTTAGAAGCTCCGCACAGTGGGTTTATTTTAAGAGCAAATGCTTCAAACAGTTGGACGTCTAATTATACTAGGTGACAGATTTGGGACAAATATGGGCTGAGTTATCCTTGCATGTAGTGTTCTTTGGTTTTTGCTCTAATGGCAACAAAGGAAAGGTTTATTTTGGGCCTAATAATGAAGTGTCATTGGCTCATAGACTTTCTCTCAGCAGAAAACACCTTTCAGGTTGGACGGTCACCAGTGATGAATACACTGTATCACAGGCTTAGCAGCTATTTTGGGATGACATACTCATGATTAAGCAATAGCTAGCATCAGGTTTTATGACTTGTGAAGGACTCTACTGAGTGGACTGAGTGTGTACTGACATGTCCTGCTCTGGCAGCTGGGAGTATGAAGTCTTCAGGCTCCCTCTGCGTTTGGCCACCGGAGGCTCCTGGCTGTTGTGCAGCTTCTTCAGTCTGCTGTGCCTGAGAGAAAACAGTCACATTAACTTCCTGACAAAGATCTAAAAGACTGATCATTATTCAACAGAACCACAAACTATGTTAACAACTGTAATCAGGGATGACCACATCTGATTTCAGTGATCAATATTGGGGCTGATCAAAGTATTTGTTAACTGATAGACATTGGCTAAACTGAGCTGTGTAGAGCCCGATCCTTTGTTTAACATTCGTCATGCAGGAGTTTGTACCGTTTGAAGGTTTCATGCACAGCGGTGCATCGAGCGTAAATGGTCATATTGCATCAAACAAGATCCTCAACTTTTTCTCAGTGTGATATTTAAGGGTAAAAAACATGTAACTTTCCATACTCCAAGGAATGTGTGATGACATCCAGCACACAGACAAACTGGTCTGAGCTCAAGTTATCTTACATGTTTTTCTGGTTCCAAGTCAGGTGCTCTTCATCCACCAACTGCAGAGTGAGTCCAGACTCACAGTTCTGCCACACGGACAACACCTGAAACCAAAAGAGAGATTAAGGTTCATACAGCTAGAGCTGTGTCTTTAATGACAATTAAAGGAAGTAGATAATGGATCATCTATGTACCCGCACAAAACCAAATCCTATCCTGTATTTATTTAAGACTCATGAGCACTCAAAAAAAGAAGAAACTTCAGTCATACAATCAAACATACAATCAGTCATAGTGGGAGTTAAACACCTGACAGCACATATTCTTCAAAAATGACTGTGTAGCATTTTGTGGTGATAAAACCTGAAGAACATTTGATAAACAGGATAAATAGCACCAGTCTATGTTTTCACCATGTTACTGCAGTATTAAGATATTCCCACATTATAGTTATAGAGACATGATGAGAGACTGGATCATCTGTCAGAAGGCCCACATGTATCTCCAGTCTCTGGCTGAAGGTCTCACCTTGGAGTAGAAGGCCCTGTGGCCCTTTGACCTGGGCTGAAGAGCAAAGACCAGACAGTGGTCAGCACTGTGGAGCGGGAACGGCAGGTGGGGCAGCAGGCTGCTCTCATACTCCACAAGGAGAGACGCCACAGCACTGGAGTCCTGATGACAAGAGGACACAGGAATCAATGTTGTATCCAACTCACTTAACCTTTGACCTCTGGACTACAAATGGTCCACCAGTGCATATGTTGGTATTTCTGCTTGTTGTGATGTTGTTTCTTTGAGACTCTTTGCATACTTCTTATCAGTGAATCTGTACCACCCGAGCTAAAAGGTTTTGTTAGTCAATAAACAAGAATCATTTATATATTTCAACATAAGTATTGAAATTGTGTCATAAATTTGAAAACTACAAAATTTTTCTTGTCAATTTTTTTTAAAAAATAAACACACAAACATTTTGAACCAAAAGATTTCTAAATGTAGAAACATGATAAAAGTAGTTTTTAACATTCCAAAAGTTATTTGAACTATGCACATATTTTAGTCTTGAGATGCTCATTTTTCTGAGCAGAGTGCAAAGGTGTTTTGATAGTTTGATCTGCAGTAGAAATATTTCCTCAGTGCCTACATTAGTATTTTTTGGTATTTCATATCACTAAAATCTGTACAACCTGAAAGCTTAAAGATTATGTGAGTAAATAAACCAGAGTAATTAATTAAAGTATTGAAATTGTGTCATAAAAAAAAAACAAACAAACAAAAAAAAAACCCCAACAGATATTCCTATTGTCCTGCTTCTCTGCTCCTCTCGCACCATCGCACCTTTTCACTGTCTTTTGGACCGCTTGTAGCACAACATAATGACATCATCACAAGTGGACAATGTGATGGTGCGAAAGACGTAAGTCTCAGCTTTCTGCTGCTGCAAAATAAATGAACGCTCTAGCTCTTAGTGTTTTTTATTTTAGCGCGATTTTAAACAGGATCATGAAAACAACGATCTCCCACGGCAATGTCGAGACAATACTGTTGTGTCACCGCACATTTTCACCGTCCTTTGGACCACTTGTAGCATAATGTAAAGATGTAATCACACGCAGAAAACATGATGGCACGAAAGATGGAAATATTTGCTTTCTGTTGCAAAAAGAATGAATGGTCTGGTTCTTCTTGTTTTTTATTTTCAATCGATTTTAAACAGGATCATGAAAACAACAACTCCTCGCTGCTGCCTGCAGGAGGTCTGTTTTCAGACGTCTAAAACATTAATGAACTACATAACAACAAAACAGATCAAGTGTGTAGAAAAGTATGTGTGATCATAGAGTGTGTGTGTCATAACTGCAAATCTCACCGGATCATAGAACTTGATGTTGCTGATGTGATCCTTGGACAGGGTGATGCTTCCATATTGAGAGTGAATAAACAGCAGGCCCTCAGAGAAGAAAATGATTTTTCCTAAAAAACAGAAACAACTGAAATAATCAAATACTGTAAATCAATAAAACAGACTTTAAACCCAGAGCCTTTTTCACATGGCGCTGTAAAGCTGACTTTGGCAACTGACTTCAGGCCAAGTATGAAATGATTATACAGCAGCATTGTAAGTTATATTCATGTTAACATAGAGTGTCACCTTCTTCAGGTGTGGAGAGTTGGCTGCTGGAGAACGCATACGCAGCGTCTGCTACAGTCAGAGCGGCTCCCAGACAAGTGCCTTCCTCTCTCTGTTGAAGACACACACGCTCATACACACATTAACACATGTATTCATAGACATCAGTGGACACATGAAGCTTCTGAACGTACCTTAGAAAGATGTTGGGCCTGCTCAGATTGCTTGACGTCAGATTCCATCTGAAAACAGCGTGACCATCAGACTTTAGACAAAAAACAATCAATGCTGGAAAAATAAACAGTTTATTCCTTAAACTACAGATGACACAACATGTTTCTGGATAGAAGAAGACTGAAAGACTGGAAAACTCAAACTGTAAAAACTCTGTCTGTATCTAAACATTGTTTAAACATTCATCTGAAATGATTTTCAGCAGCTCACATACCAGCCAGCAGGCGTAGCGAGGCACAGTTGTAGTCAGGATGGTGTAGCAGCTGTCTGAGGACACAGTGCCATCTGCAGGACAGGAAACAAACTTTTTCAAAATGAAGCACAAACAACAAAACAGAAGAATGATAAACAAGGAAGATGAATCCTGAAGATGATCCTCAGATGTCTTTTTCTGTTAACAGTGAACCGTGGATCTGTCCCACTCATGTAAATCACATTTCCTTTGTGGAATCAATCAGCAATGTAGTCTGATTAGACTTAATCTGATCAATATTGTACCTTTCTGCTGGATGTTGATGCTGGACTCCAGGAAGGATTCAGAGAAGACCACAGAGCCCAGGTCCCCTCCGTCCCACTGCAGGTCTGGGATGTCGTGGACAGTCATGGAGGCCTTAGGAAACATAAGTAGAGTTAAAGCATCTGCAACTTTTTGGGTGCTTTTTTTATCTGTGATTTTAAAAAATAAGTTATGCAGAGAAACTTTGCACACTGAGTCTGACGTGTTTTAACAGACTCAGTGTGGTCAAACCATAAAATAATCTGCTTCTCTAACTTACTGTTTTCACTACGTAACGACTTTCTTCATCAGTCAGAGGAATGATCCTGCAAACAAAAATAAATCAAACACTTAAGATCTGAAATCACATATTTACAAAGAAAAGGTTTTCAAGAAAGCATCATTTCAGTATGAATTAATCAAATAACACAATAATGTTTTAAAAGAGCTGTGCTGTAAAATACAAATGTTTCCAAATGACCAAAGGAGGACGAGTTAACATTCACCTTCCTTGATTATTCACTGCCTGAATGCTGAATTCACATTTGGACCTGAGGAGAGAAAACACAGACTCAGACTGATTCAAACAACAGATTCTTTTTCATGGTCGGCTGAACGTCTCACACAGAGAACAACAGAGAAGAAATCTATATTCATTTGTACCTGAGAGAACTGCGGTATTGACTCAAATTCATTGAGTCCAAAGCCAACAGAAAGGTGTTCTCTGCTACGTCTTTAGCCTGCAATAACACACATTTCTGAATGAGAATCTGGACATGTTACAGCACATGCTGAGAAATGATTATTATAATAGGTGCTATTTTTCTTACCTTGGTGGCGCTGGAGAAACAGGAGTAGCATTTGATCCCTGCCAGGACCGCCTGAACAGCAGCTGAATAAATCTGTGACAAAAGTCTGGAACAAATAAAAAAAACCAAAAAACTTTCATTCAGACATTTTGTAACATTTAAAAACAGCCAACCAGCTGACAGAGACAAACAGTAATTATGAGATCAGAGATTAAAGCACTTACAAGACTTGTGTTTTCTTTTGCTCTGTGTTCTGGTTCCCTGTGTGGGTGAAATACAGCGAGTGTAAACAACCATAGCAAACGATACAAAGAAAGGCTTCTCATAAAATAGTTAAAGGCTAACTGCAGTATTTTTTAACCTAGACCATGATACTGGGATTCAGTAATTAATGGGAAAAACATTTTTGAAATTAGTGCAGTGCTGAGTGAGAGGGCTGCAGCTGACAGTGGCAAAAAGTTCTGCCATGTATCCCTCAGGGTCTTTTTGCATCGTCAATTTACATCCACTCAAAGTGTTTGTTTTTGCCACTGACAGGCTCGCATTGTTCACGTTGTTCAGGGTTCCCACACATTTACACAGACAAAATTTCAGAACTTTTCCACGACCTTTCAAGGAGCCTTAAGGAGTGAAAGAGTGAAAGAGTTAAAGAGTCAGATCCTTTTTGTTTAACCAGAAACAGCTCCAAAATCACCATCGCCAAACCCACCAAACTGCATTTACATTAACAATCATTTTATCATCATTAAACACACTTCATTCAGACTCCCAAAAAACATCTTGGTTCATCTTTCCACTGTTCCAACAATCACCAGCTTTGGTTTGGTTCAAATTAACCCTTAATTCACCAGTTAGATGTGACAACGTGCTGCCTCTATACACACTAACATGACTGTTTATCTAAATGCAGTCTGGTAGGTTTGGTGACAGTGATTTCAGGGCTGTTTCTGGTTAAACAAAAAGGATCTTACTCTGTAACACAAAGCTCTATCTCTGTAGGGATCCTTTCATCATGTTGTCAGACACTAAGAATAACAGTCTGAGCCTGTCAGTGACAAAAACAAACAGTTAGTGGACGCACACTGACGGTGAACAAAACTCTGAGTGGTTACATTGCAGCCTGTTTTGACCCTGCTGGATCAGTCGTCTCCTCAAAACTGGACCAATTATAAGACTTGTTGTTCCCATTAGTCACTTGGACATAAAAACAAGGGAAAATAAGGTCCAGGTTGGAAAATACCAAAGTTACTGAGTTAATAAACAATGCTCTGCAGCAGGGTTACCTTTATTAAGTAAACAAAGTCATAGAGAAAGACCTCACCAAGGTACGGAGCGTGAGTGGTCCCAAAGAAATAGGTTCGAGAGCAGGCCAGAGGTCCTTTAGGGGACACACACTGCAGAATCTGTTGGACGAAAAAAAAAATATTATTTTGTAAAATACAGTCATGAAATGTTCCCACTTCATTACCAACACAAACGGGAGTGGTGCACAATGACCTCTATCTCATATTTACAGGAGACATAGTCAGTTATCACATGTTTGCTGCAAAAGATGTTGCAGATGATTTGTCATTACTGCTCTGCACACCACTGGTGGTACCAAATTACTTCACCAGGTGGCGCTGCAGGTCAGTTTTCCTCTTTAACTTGAGCAATGTGAGTAATGAACCAGACAGATAATGAAAAAAATAGCATAAAAACCATTTGAGATGCTGCAGAGTTCTCCCAGCTGCAGGTTGCCCAACATTAACAGGGTCCAATAGTAATGTGTGTTTGTTACTTCACACTGTTTTCAGGCTGCTCACCATGTGTCTGGCTGCAGAGCCCAGGGACCCTGTGTTGCGGACCTGATGGCTCTCTGAGGGAAAGTTGAAGGAGTAACTCTCCAAATCCTCTGAGGATGAATGCTTCCCAAACAGCACAAAGGGCTGCTGACTTTTACTGAAATAACCAAACATATGATTAAAGCAACAGCATTTTGTTATTCTAAAAATCACAAGACTGCGGCCCCGTGTCCACCACAGTGTTTTTTCTAAGCCGTGAACACCAGGCGCTCCTCAACAAACACCCAGCTGGTAGCGTTTGAGAGCATATGAGGTGCAGAGTTTTTTTCAACAGGACACTTAAGTTACATCTGGTTGCCATGATACAGAATATCCGCATAGGTGAACATGGCGGCACAAGGTAAAGTACCTGCTTTGGATGAGGGGAAGGCTGAAGCATGCAGAGAGAGAGGACGGACCCACCGGTCTGTGTGGGTTCAACAGAGGAAACATAATATATACAGTATATTTACAGATTTCTCCTCCAGTGTTGCTGTTCAGCACTTGTACATGTCAGATGTGACAGTTTGTCTTTGTGGTATTCGTCCCTCCTCTTCTGTGACAACACGGCTGAAGTGACAATGACGAGCACCGCGTTTTTACCCAAAGTTGAACATTTTCCAGCTCTTGGGGCTCAGGAAAAAAAAAAAAAAAAAAAAAGCCAAACCAGAAACGCAGAATTCACACACAGTCCTCATCCTGCTGCCAGTGACTCTAGCACAGCGTAAATAATTGGCGCTACCAAAGCGTTAAAAAACACACTGGCCTCCGAACAAATGCTTTGGTGGACACGGCCTCTACAGATCAACATCATTTCAGTATTTGGACATTGATGAATATGAAGAATACCTTTTATCTGTGATGTTGCTTGAGATCAGTCCATGAGAGTAATACGTACGGAACGCCTGTGGATTGATGAGAACACACTTTATACAGACACAAGAACACTCAGCTGTCTGTGGAGACCAGACATTGAGCAATGCCTTTTGAACACACTAAGCAGACACTGACTTGATCTCCTTATAGTCACTACACCTTTGCTATGTGGTATTAAAGCATACCTCTCCTGCCTGTGCTTCAGACAGCTCCAGGATGGACAGGTGGCTCTCCAGGTCCATGCTGGAGAAGAAGCCACTCCACTGCTTCTCAAAGTTCACCAAGTCCTAAAATACAATGTACACTGGTCAATAGATTTCTGGACTTAAATATTTTAAAAGAAAGTCAACATGTCACAGGTAGGCCTTGTGATTATATGCAACAAAATCCTGTCAAACAGCTGATGAAATGCACAGGTGAGTGTTACCTCTGTGAGGAGAGTGTCCAGGGACACTGGGTCCAGTCTGTTGTAAACCTGCCACAGCTTCTCACTCATGTCCATGAGCTGGAAACAACAGGAACATATCAATCAGGCAGAAACAGAAAGTGTGAGATATCTTTTAATTTCCCCACACTACAGCGCTTATTGTGTGTTTGTTTTGAAGGTACCTTGTATTTCATGGTAAAAAAGCTTCCTCCACCGATGCCTTCCAGGGCGAATGCCTGAATTAGGGGCCACTTCTCCACCATGAACATATCAAACCTCTGAACGTGTCCTGAAAGTAACAGCAGAGCAAATTAAATCACCTGTGTTGTTGCTGTATTTAGATATTTTAAAATAAGTACATGCTGTCAAGCAGGTGAAACCTCATAGTTTTCCAGTTTACTGAGATGTAATATAATGGAGTCAATGTGTGAACACTTCTCATTATGTCTTTAACGTATGTGTGGTGAGTGAAGGTGGACCGTACCCTGGGAGCTGTAAGGTACTCCGATACGATAGCAGTCCTGCACCATTGTGACAAAACTGGAGATTTTGAATTCCTCTGCTGCTTCTTCGTCTTCATACTGTGTGTGAGGTGAGATAATCACAGAGGTAGAAAACTTAGAAAAGAGCTCAATATCTGGAATAACAACCACAATTACACACTCTGCTGCAAAGGGTCAGATTTACAGTTTTCATCAACAGCAATCATTACGTGAAGAGGCCACCTGTGCACAGACTGAAGGTACAGTGGTAAAAACTAGGACACACTGAGCCTCATGCAGGAAGCGATATTCGGACAAATGTTCTCCTATTTTTGTTTGTATCCACAATTTGTGCTTATTTTGTTAGTGCGCAGTGATTTCTGGGATTCACCAGTGTTTTCTTATTTTTGCACTTCTCTTAGGTAAAAGATTTTTTTCGAAAAGGTTGAGAGCTCTCTGACCAAGATAAGACAAAAACATCTCATTTTCACAGCCCAGAAATACTGGGTCCGTGCATCTCAAGTGGACTCCTCTTATTTTTTCTTAACAGAAAATTAAGAGAAATTTTCAGATAATGTTGCTGCATGAGGCTCTCTGTCATTTATCAAAGTGAATGTGCTGCTTTCACTGTGCAGCTCCTTTAGACAAGGTGTAACATTAAAACTGACTTCTTGTCTAATAAGCTGCTGCCTGAAAAACCTTCACAGTGACCTGCAGAGGTTAAAACTTCACATGCCCACATTCTCCTGACACAGTTCCTTCTCCTAACTGGGGCATACAGGAACTGTAATTAACAGGAATGATCGGCCTGTAGGGGACGAAGAGAGCTTTCTAACCTCTGTTTCTGTCATGCAGTAGAGATGCAGGTTCCTCCAGTGGGACACGTAGGGCAACAGGTAACTGTAGTTCAGTGGGTTGCAGTACAGGTGAACACACTCCGCCTTGATCAGCAGGATTACATCTGGAAAACAGACAATGTGTCAGAGTAGATGGAAACTAAAGCAGGCACAAACACATGAGTAAAATCACAGTGAACACTTGAAGCAGTCACCATCCAGCATTTCCTCAGGGAACTCCTCCAGGACATGTTCCACATTCAGCTGATTTCTCCCGTACAGTCCATAGAACAGGTATCTGGCCAACTCAGTGCAGCCCTCGTTATATCTGCTGTCAATCCCTAAAGTACACATAAAAACATATTAACAATATTTGCTGGCTGTTTTGGAATGACCACAGAAACTGATTTATTCACCATCTGTTCTGAGAAATTATTTCCTCTAGCTCTGACAGTTGGCCGTGCAGTTAACCAGGCCAGATAAAGAAATAAAGGTCAAAGATTCTTTACATACCCAGAGAGCACAGGATGCCATCAGGAGTGGCAGCACCACCCTCACAGAGCAGAGACTGAACCTGACGCAGACGACAGCAACTGAAAAATAAAATAAAGAACATATATCATCATGGTTTTATTAGTTACTAACAGCAGCTCAGGGCACCTGTCCAAGGCAGCCCAACCTCATTCTGACATCTCTCCATTTAATGCATGTACAGGTCCTGTTTGTGCATGTGTGTGTGTATTAGTTTGTTTGACATAGAGTTTATTTTCTGCAATAATTTAAAATGCAATGGACAAATCCTGCTGGCTTTTGATGAGGGAACCAGCGCGGTGCTAAGTTCAGAGTCAGCCTACAGGAAAACATCATCCTGCAGCCATTCGTATTTCAACAGAGTATCTCAAAAAGTGCACAAAGTCCAGGAGCAGCCTGCAGCAGGGTTTGTTTTCTCAGGAGAACAGGAAACAGTTCATGATGTGATCTGCTTGCTGCCTTTTTTGGCACCAACTGTAACTATGCAACGAATCAACAAATGACACAGACACACAGCACAAACTACTGCAGGGCTGAATCTGTTCATAGACAGCTGTATTCTGTATATCACTGTGTAATGATTGATTGAAAGAACATTTTCATTTGACCACAGGTTGTGTTGACTGATGGAAATATTTGATTTGTTGCACCTCGTAAATGATTTGTGAGTATCAGAGCATTTTGAAAACAAAGTGTGTTATATCTTAGACTTTCAGTTTAGGTGTGTGAAGTGAACTGTTCTGAAAACGTAACTTGTGAATGAATGAATGTGTTTTAGCAAAGAGGAAAAACTGTAAAAAGAAAACTCAACACAAAGCCCAACTTACTTGTTCATTTTCAAAAGAGTTCAACCACTTCTGATAGTCTGATAAAAATAAACCTGAGGCTGCAACGGTATCAGATTTTTCTGGTACTATAACCGCCTCAGAGAATATCGAGGTTTCACAGTATTACAGAACTGATCAGTCAGAATGAGCCTTAAAGGAATGGAAACAGCAGGTTATTGTGGTTGAACAAACATTTTATTTCTATAACTGAAACTTGAAACTATTTTGTTAATGAAAGTTTGTGTAAAAAATCTCCCCCTTTAAAAATATCTAAAATAAAGGAGAGCTAAAACATCCAGTTGCATTTATTTTTCTTCAATATGGTAGATAAGCAAAGTGTCAACTTTTATATGACAGTATACCTTGAAGCCGGTAAATCACAGCAACCATGAATAAACCACCTGGGAAACAGACAATAAGTTGGACATTGTTTTAAGTTTTTGTTTTGTGTCAAACATGATTAAAAAATATATATTTTTTAAATATATACAGTACAGGCCAAAAGTTTGGACACACCTTCTCATTCAATGCGTTTTCTTTATTTTCATGACTATTTACATTGTAGATTCTCACTGAAGGCATCAAAACTATGAATGAACACATGTGGAGTTATGTACTTAACAAAAAAAGGTGAAATAACTGAAAACATGTTTTATATTCTAGTTTCTTCAAAATAGCCACCCTTTGCTCTGATTACTGCTTTGCACACTCTTGGCATTCTCTCCATGAGCTTCAAGAGGTAGTCACCTGAAATGGTTTCCACTTCACAGGTGTGCCTTATCAGGGTTAATTAGTGGAATTTCTTGCTTTATCAATGGGGTTGGGACCATCAGTTGTGTTGTGCAGAAGTCAGGTTAATACACAGCCGACAGCCCTATTGGACAACTGTTAAAATTCATATTATGGCAAGAACCAATCAGCTAACTAAAGAAAAACCAGTGGCCATCATTACTTTAAGAAATGAAGGTCAGTCAGTCCGGAAAATTGCAAAAACTTTAAATGTGTCCCCAAGTGGAGTCGCAAAAACCATCAAGCGCTACAACTAAACTGGCACACATGAGGACCGACCCAGGAAAGGAAGACCAAGAGTCACCTCTGCTTCTGAGGATAAGTTCATCCGAGTCACCAGCCTCAGAAATGGCAAGTTAACAGCAGCTCAGATCAGATACCAGATGAATGCCACACAGAGTTCTAGCAGCAGACCCATCTCTAGAACAACTGTTAAGAGGAGACTGCGCCAATCAGGCCTTCATAGTCAAATAGCTGCTAGGAAACCACTGCTAAGGAGAGGCAACAAGCAGAAGAGATTTGTTTGGGCCAAGAAACACAAGGAATGGACATTAGACCAGTGGAAATCTGTGCTTTGGTCTGATGAGTCCAAATTTGAGATCTTTGGTTCCAACCGCCGTGTCTTTGTGAGACGCAGAAAAGGTGAACGGATGGATTCCACATGCCTGGTTCCCACTGTGAAGCATGGAGGAGGAGGTGTGATGGTGTGGGGGTGTTTTGCTGGTGACACTGTTGGGGATTTATTCAAAATTGAAGGCACACTGAACCAGCATGGCTACCACAGCATCCTGCAGCGACATGCCATCCCATCCGGTTTGCGTTTAGTTGGACCATCATTTATTTTTCAACAGGACAATGACCCCAAACACACCTCCAGGCTGTGTAAGGGCTATTTGACCAAGAAGGAGAGTGATGGAGTGCTGCTGCAGATGACCTGGCCTCCACAGTCACCGGACCTGAACCCAATCCAGATGGTTTGGGGTGAGCTGGACCGCAGAGTGAAGGCAAAGGGGCCAACAAGTGCTAAACACCTCTGGGAACTCCTTCAAGACTGTTGGAAAACCATTTCAGGTGACTACCTCTTGAAGCTCATGGAGAGAATGCCAAGAGTGTGCAAAGCAGTAATCAGAGCAAAGGGTGGCTATTTTGAAGAAACTAGAATATAAAACATGTTTTCAGTTATTTCACCTTTTTTTGTTAAGTACATAACTCCACATGTGTTCATTCATAGTTTTGATGCCTTCAGTGAGAATCTACAATGTAAATAGTCATGAAAATAAAGAAAACGCATTGAATGAGAAGGTGTGTCCAAACTTTTGGCCTGTACTGTATAAAAGCAGGGATGAGCGAGTACACCATTATCTGTGTCTGTGTCTGTATCTGTTCAAACAACTAAATTATCTCTATCTGTACTCGGAGTGGGCGGACTTTATGCCAGAAGTGGGTGTGACTTGAATCTAAAGTGGGTTGGGCCTAATCAGAGGTTGTTATTTTAAAGGCCCTGACACACCAAGCCAACGGTCGGCCGTCGACCAAAGTCGGGCCGTTGGTGAGCGTCTGTTGCCCTAGTTTTTGCGGTGTGTCACGCACCGTCGGCACTTCGGTGTTGGCGGCTTTTTGGCCGATTGAGCATATTGAATCGTCGGCGGAGCTTGTCGGTGAGAGAGATCACTCTGATTGGCTGTTCAGGTTTTATTTCCTCGCCCCTGTAGCGAGTGAATCTGCCTGTAGTGAAACCGGGGCTAACCGGTGCTTCCTCCTCAGGCTCCACTTCACTCAGCTGACCCATAGACCCGCTGCTTCTTCACACTTTAACCTGAATAACAAACCGGAGCTAGCTGGGAGCGGCTAGCGGAGTGTTAGCCGCAGCATGACCGGAGGGAAGCACAGCCAGTTAGCCTCCGCTAGTCTCTGAGCTAGCCCCGGCTCTCCGTTTGGATCCAACCGGGTTGATAGTAGTTGCAATATTTATTATCTATGAAGAATGTACAGAACAGCCTCAGAATTGAACTTCACATCTTTTTTTATCCCAATAAATTAAAGACAGCGACCAAAATGATGACTGTCCTTTATAACAAGTACAGATAATGACACATTTTACGAGGGAAGCACAATCAATTCGTCACGTCATTGGTAACAGCTGATATCAGCCAATAGTCAACATGCTTTTTCTTATTTTGCAGACTGAATGAATATTATCCACTGAAAAGTATGTCATGTCTTCATCTGCTGGTGTGTCGTCACCATAAGATTATGTACAATATGATGTTAATTCCACTACAGAAGAGATATGATGATCATTAGAATTACGTGGGAATAAAGTGGATATATCAATATCTGTATAGATTACCAGCCAAATAAATTGTTACACATCGGATTATTGGATATTGGCAAAAGATCAAATATCGTGCATCCCTACGTGTTAGTGGTGTGATACTCGTACTCGAGAGTGCATTATCTGAACCGAATACTCGTTTCATCTGAATATTCGTCTCAACCCTAATAAATAACCTCACATTCATGAGAAAAGTAAGTAAGTAATAAAGTTAAGATAATTTTCTGTCACTTATTAGATACACTGAACACATCATGGATGCCACAGACTTCAACACAATTTCTCTATCAAAAAATACATGAAATATTACAATTATGATACTGATGAGGCAGATTAGACACTTAATTACAATAATTAATTAGCTATGGCATTTTGTTTGTGTCTTTAGAAGAAGATGGGACTTCCCACAGACACTAAACACGTTATAAATAAACGTTAGCTTTAGCTTAATGTTTGGGACCGATGAGGGGACATTCTGGCAGCGAGTGTTATTATAGCATCACTATGTAGCATTAGCTTCACCAGCTAACTCATACTGACAGCACCTAACACACACAGCTAACGTTAGCATCACTGCTAACGGTTACCCGTTAGCATCACTGCTAACGGTTAACCGTTAACGTTAACTGACGGTAACTGCTTTACAAACGTCGACAGAATAACGGACGGCGGCTCTCATGCTAACGTTAGCCACATTAGCTCGACAGCTTCACCGAGGCGTTTCGTGTAAACACTGCTCGGTGTAAACGTTACCTGACGGCGGGGTTGATTCCCGAGAACTTCCCGGTAACTCTCCTGATACCGGCCATCGTACCTGCTGTAACGGTTCACACAGTTAACGTCTTAAAACCGAACAATGTTTGTGTTTTCAGGCCGAGCAGCTACATCTTCTTCATCACCCTGGAGAGTGTCTACACAGGATAGCATAGCAACGGACCAAACCATCCCAAATTTAGGGGCGTCCGCCATATTATCTTCACCTTTTAAAGGAAATAGTGACAATATACATCACTAATCATTATCATATATACAACATTTTTTATATATAGCTCTACATTTTGTGTTGGACAAATTAAATGATTAACAATAAGGAATATATCCGGTCCTGTCAGACGGACTCCCCCATGTCCCGCTGTAGTGCCGCCTTGTTGTGGGCCGTTTGACAGCTGCAGGCAGCAGCAGCAGCAGAGGGAGGTGAGATGGTGCAATCCCTCAGTAACATCAGCTGCTGCTGAGGATGAAGGGGAACTCCTCCATACTGGAGCTGTGAGCTGCCTCAAACACACGTGCTGTCATCATCAATTCATGTTTTATTTGTTGTTGTTTTGTTCTGTTTGTTATTTTATCCTGTCTTTCCAGGACTTCATTATAAGTGATAAGAAAATAAAGGAAACAATGCAATTGGTTATATTTAAAAGGAACTAATCCATCTAGAAAAATTATTTTCATTTTCTGTTAGGGACTGTTCGTTGTTTATTGGGGAAGGACTTATGTATGTACATTTTTAGAACCAGAAGCACAATTAGCTCCTAGTGTCCGCATTAGCTTGTTAATATTCACTGTGACTCAACCGTCTCTGTCAGATCTCAGACTGCAAAGTTGTTGTATCTCCACATGTTTCACATGCTGCAATTCATTCTTTGTTGACCACTGTGTTGTTTTTGTACATGAACTAAATTATTTTTTTTCCAGCAGACATTCAGGACTGTAATGTTAGGGACTGGTCATTACTTACTGTACGAGGGGGAAGGTGGGGAGTGAAAAAAGTACAAGGCATGTCAAATGATTTTTTAAGCACTGGGGAGGGACTTATATTTTTTATTTTGGTTTAGGGGAGTGCCTTACAAATTTACATGGCTGTATTTTGTATTTATTTTACTGCCGGTTTTTGAGGAAAACATGCCTCATGAATGACACCATTCATCACAACCAGAAACTGTAAATACAGAAACAGTTTTTTGATTTTCAAATTACCATCGGCCCTTGGAAACATCATATGCGACAAATGCTTCCATCGGGAAAAAAAAACATAATCAAGGATGTTGGCTGACAGATTTACAGCAAAGACTTAGTGCTCCTGTTTAGTTTGCGTCTCTGCAACAAGGCTGATTCAGCATCAATGAAGACAACAAACAATCCCAGGAAGCCTGTCAGACTGGATTTATTGTGCAGAGGGCAGCCACCTCATAGAGCCAGGTAGTAAAAGGAAACTGATTCAGAGTTTACAAAGGTTCAACTCAAATCTGACTTTCAAATTCTGGCATATCTAAAATGTACATACTTGTGGGGCCAGAAATCTGTACACATGGTCTTATGATGGGGACTCACCTGCTGTGTGAGGGAAGGTCGGCCCATAAACCACCAAAGTAAATGTGTTTGTTTGTTTTTTTGTAAAGGTGAGCATTAGGTTTGGGGTTCAGCCTGAAGTCAGTATGGTTTACACATATGCAAGTCTTCAAGGAATAAAGAAAGTGAATGCAGTGACTAAAATAACTTTATCTTAGTGTGTGTGTGTATTTGTGCAGTGTGACAGAGTAACAATACTTTAGTACAGTACTAAAGTATTTTTTGGGAGTATCTGTACTTCACTTGGGTTTTTATATTTCTGTCAACTTCTACTTTTACTCCGCTTCACTCCCTAATAAAATCTATACTTTTACTTCAACACATTTCCCAAATGAAGCTGTATACATTTACTCCGCTGCATCTGAGTTACTTACTACAAAATAAGGAAGGAGAGTCGAAGGTATGGACAGACAGACAGACGAATGAAGGAATGCGAGGGAATTAAAAACTGGATTTTCTTCGTTAAATCCTTTAAGTTGTGAAAAAGACATTTTTCTTTAAGTGTCATGTAGGCTCCATTTTTAAGGGTGGTGTACGTATGTTGTGATTTTACTACCAGCATTTACTTGTACTTTTACTTTCAATATTTAAGTACATTTAGTATAATGAATTACTTTTGATACTTGAGTACAGCAGATATCAGATACTTGATATATTAATAGGTGACTTTAACTTCTACCAGAATCATTTTCTGGTCAGATATCTGAACTTCTAATCCTCTGTGGCCTCCAGATCCTTCATCCATCACTGTGGAAACTTCTTACTGAATCTTAGCATAAGGTGTATGGGGGTCTCAGTAAGAAGTTCTGCTTCTTATGTGTGAGTAAAGAAATGCTTGTGAAGGAAGGAACATAGTTCTTCAGTGGAGCTCACACATGACCTGAAGCATGAGGGAGATGCACCGGACAAGTAGCTTCTTCATTCCAGGTTTTAATGTGGAATGCACTTCCTCCACAAAACAAAAACTTTAGGTGCCACGAGATGTGTTGTAATCAGGAAGCTTCTTATACAGCTTGTTTCAGAGCCAGAGGATCCAGTTTCAGCTGTTATCTCAAGCTGACAAGGATCTCAGAGCAGACCTGTGGGTGCACCTGCAGAAACCATGTCACACAGTAAGTCATTCCTTTATACATTAATCTGTGTTTTACAAAGTCAATGCAATTATTTATGAGTTTCATTTGTGTAGTGTTCGATACTGCAAGGCCTGGAAAGTAATGGACAGAGTAGGGCTGCAGGAACGTCTTCTTATAGTTACTGTGCAAAACATCATATTATTACTTGCTGTGTGCACTCAACATGATTACATGTGTTATCTCTGTTTTTTTCTAGACGGCTTAACTAACGGGAGGCAGACGATGGTGGTCGTGTCCACAGTGGAGGGGTGGCTCGCTCTGAAGGCTCTGCAGGATAAACATGTCAAGTTAACCTTCAGTTCTCTGGGATCAAATGAAGTCTGTGACATGACGGTGGGTGGTCACTCGGTTAGTTTGCATTATGCAGATTTAAAGCAGGAGATGACAGAGGAGGGCATCAGCCAGGCGATGGACGGCTGCTTTAAGTCCTGCAAAGATGGAGTCTGTACATTTCTGCTGCTGATCCAAGGTGGACATTACACAAAGAGGGAGAGAAGAATGGTGGAGATCCTGCAGGCACACTTTGGAGCCGAGGCTGTAAAATACCTGGCAGTCATCTCTCTGGAAGATGGGAAGGTTGCTGACAGGCTGGACGACGCCCTGTTGGAGCTGATAAAGACATGCAATGGAAGATACTGCAGAGTCACATCACCTGCAGCCAGAGACGAACTGCACGCTCTGCTGGAGATGGTCGACTCCATGCTGGCAGAAAACGGTGCGACTGGCTACACAGAGAGCATGCTGACTGAAGCGGAGAAGAGGAGCACAGAGGACTCAGCCATGAAGATGCTGAAACAGAAGGTGCAGGAGGTGGAGGAGAAGGAGCAGACCTTCAAACTACTGGTGCAACAGCAGGAGGAGAGAAGAGCCCGAGAGATGGAGGAGCTGAAGGCGAAACATGCTGAAGAAAGAAAGAAGGAGGCATCTGAAAAGCAGCAATATGAGGAAAGGAGAGAAGGTCTGGAGGAGGCTGTGATGAGCCACAGAGCCATGCTGCAGCTCCAGATCAGTCCCAGTGCTGGTAAGACTCATGTTTCTGTTGCTTATAGAGACTTAAATCAGACTGAGTTAAGATAAAGAAATAAAAGACCTATCTTTTTCCTATCACCCAAATTTGCTCTCTTCCAAATCTGTATATATATATATGTGCCCATGGAAAGATTACTGAACAGGCCCACCGGGGGCCCAAAGTGTCAGGCCTCTCCTCCCTCCTTCACCTGCAAAATGTCTTCACCTCATAATAACATGTACTGACCAGGAGGAGACTCAAAATGACCTCAAAGAGACACAAGACAGCCGCAGAGACACACAAAAAACTCACAATGGAAAGGGGCAAAACAGTCACACAGAGACACACAGCAGGTGCAGAGACTCAAAGTGACAACAGAGAGACACAAGATGACTACAGAGATGCGACACAACTGCAAAGACACAGAGAATGAACACAAAAAACCCACAAAGAGACTCAGAATGATTACATAGATTCAAAGCAACTGCAAAGAGACACAGACAGTACTGCAAATAAAAAACAACAACTCAAAATGACAGATAGATACCAAACAACTACAAAGATGCAAAGCAACTACAGAGAGACTCAAAGTGATCACAAAGACACACAAAACTACAACGAGATGCAGAACAGCAGAAAGAGGCTGAACAGCTACCAGGTCTGAGTGTGTTGCTGTTTCATAGGAGAGGTGTTGAGGCCTTCAGGTGAACATTGTCTCAGAATCAGCTGGTGAATGTTTAGTGTCATTTTCAGACCCTGATGCAGCAATTTCTCCCACCAGGGGGCGCTACAGTCACACATTAATATGAGCAGTGGTCACTCATCATCTACAGTACTGTGATCTTTCTGTTAACACTCTCTAACAGCCACTTGTCTTTTGTTTTCCTGCTCTAAGCTGATGACACCAAGACGACGTCCGTCATCCTGTTGGGTCTCTCAGGCAGCGGGAAGTCTTCTGCTCTGAACCTCATCCTGCAGAGAGCAGGTAATCAGTACTCAGTTACTGAGTCCAGTCATGGACCCCCTCAGCCCACCTCCTTCTGTGAGAGGAGGGAGGTGTTTGCAGCAGGGAGGCAACTTGTCCTGGTGGACACCCCCGAGCTGTGGGACGAGGACGGGGTGGAAAATCTGCAGCTGGTGAAGGACTGCCTGGCCTTGTCCCTGCCTGGACCCCACGTCTTCCTGCTGGTGCTCCAAGTGGGCCGCTTCACCCAGGGCGAGTGTGAGATGCTTTCGCACCTGCAGAAGATCTTCGGGCGAGATTTTGCAGAGCACGCCATCGTCCTCTTCGTTCACTTCGACTGTAACCAGCACAGGCCTCAGAGGATCGACGACTACGTGGCCGGGGCCCACACAACCCTCCAGGATCTCATCAGGAAGTGTGGATGCCGTTACTACGAGCTGAATGTGTCAAAGTCCCAGAATGCTCTGAGCTACCCGCAGGTGAAAGATCTGCTCTCAGGGATCAACAAACTGGTGGCTTCACATGGAGGACGCTCCTACACAGTGAGGAGGTTCTCTGTGCAGGAGCTGCAGGAGAGGAAGACTCTGATTGGAGGAAGGAAGGAGGGGGCCCTGGAGGGGAACTACTTATTAAGAGATGCTTGAGTTCTGTTCTCATGAGCAGGAGGTGAATGCAATGAATGCAACATCTATATAATGTGATTAGATCCAATACAACAATCCATACCTCCGGTTTCAGTAAACCTCTTGAGGGTTGCAGAGGGGTGGAGCCTGTCCCAGCTGACACTGGGTGAGAGGCCTCTTAAAAAAATAAAATAAAAAAGAACTATCCTTTAATATTGTGTCAGATAAAAGTTGATGTGTGGGATCAGTCTTACAGGGATTTTTCACTGAACTTAACCACATTGCACATTCACAGCTTTTCTTGTTGCTGTCATCATGGTCTGCTTGCAGAAAACTGTCACTGGAGACATTACAATTTAAGAGACTGATCTTTTTATATATTTGTAATAATGTATTTCACACTAAGTAAACATTAATCAAATGCAGATGACATGTACATTCTGTTTTTAGAAAACTGATCCCCGGCTGACACAAGCAGTCAAAACTGTTCAACAAATCAGAAATGATTAATAAATTTGCCATTGTGGAAAAAAAAACTTGGTGATGTGATTTTTAAAAGAATTATTAATATCTATGTTTCAGCAGAGAGCAGAGGAGGGAGGGGATGAAGAAGCACAGCTGCTGATTTGATTTATTTTTACTTTCTCACTGGTACGAGGACTTATCTGACAAGTTTATGAGATTCACTCGTTGATATCTTGATTGGCCAACAGTCACATTCTTTAACGCCGTCACTCCGACGGTTCAGATCCAACAAACTGAGGCAGCTGCACGAAAACAACAAGATGGATGTGAAACAGTCAGATATCATTACAGCAGTTATTGTGCAAGTCTTACTTGTGTTTAATCTATGACTTAGTGTGTAGTAATATTTGTTTGAGAATGACTTAACTTTACAGATTAAGGAAGCAAATTTATATCATTTTACCGTGTGAGTCTGATCTACAGAAGATGTTGAACATGGTCAGTGTGGTGTTAGTGTGTGTTACAGGTGGAGATGAGCAGTTATGACAAATAAAGGTGTGTGAAGAAGGTGGGAGGAGTTCAGTTTTGGCTCAGCCCCTGTTGAATATGTTCGCTCATATAAATATTTAGGTTTCTGTCTTGATGAATTTTTGACCTTCTAGGTTGGAGTCAGGCTTCCTGTTGATTCTGCTGATTTAGGATCAGTTATCAACGAGTATTTATGGATCCTGGTCATTCTACATTTACTTAACTCTGTGATGCATGGGTCTCTCCTGTATTAAATTATGCTGCAGGGATATTAAAAGAACAGAGAACAGAGCCATACCAATATCTATATATATATGACTCAGGGAGACGTGTGCTGGGTACCAGGAGCTGTGCAACAAATATGTGAAACGATGCGATTGTGTAACTGTCCAATCAAACAGGAGTAAACGACACAGATGTCCATGAGCTCTGCTCTGTTCAGTCACTGAGGAGGTGGACATGGTTTATATTTACAGGAGGAACTTACGCAGTAGTGTCAACTCTATTTAAAAAAAGCTGTTGATGAGAAATGGATCGAAAACATTCTGTCAGTGCCTAAATTAAGGGCATACAGTATTAAACAGAAGCTGGCTCTGTAACATGTTGTTTATGTGGAAGTGAGAGCTGTTTAGTGGCACAGCTGAGAGCTGCTGTTCTGCTTTGTGAAGACATGCACAGTAAATGGTGCCATTTTAAAATTAGGAACATTCTTGTAAATATTCAGGGTGGTGATCTGAATCACTTGCAGGGGGCCCGCTCTCTCTCTATGGGCCCCTCCACCCTGGGCTCCCCAGTGCAACTGCACTGCCTGCACTGCCTACATTTATGCCCCTGCCCTGGACAGAGGAGTGATTTGACAATACTGAAGAGGAGAAGAGAATGAGCTGTGTGATTTGGGTGAAGTGGAAAGTTTTCTCTCTGTACACTGTACAAACTATCATGACTTCATGAAACAGCTCATCTAAACCCTGACATCTTCTGGTGCTCAGACGACCAAACGCTAGAATGGATGTTTAATCTTATGTGTTTAACTTTGACAGTTTTTTCTAACAAATGCTGTAAAAAGGAAACATGTTGTTGAATTAGTTTTCAGTTTGATTTCTCAGTGCTGCACACTATCGTGCACATATCATCTTGTCACATGACCAAACAGACACGTGACACGAGACAACATCAACATATATTTTAGAGCCATCATCACTTCATATCTGTATATGAGACAAATACCCAAGAAAATAAGAAATTATTCAATGTAATAACTTTAATAGTTTATTTATAGTTTATGAGCATATAATGTTGTTGTAGATGCTGCTGACTGTTTTACAAAACAAAAAAGATGGACGATAATTTTGCCTTTTTCGAGGGCATATATAGCAAATGGCAGCATGAATACAGACGTATTTCCAAGGTGACAGTCTCTCGTAAGGGCCAATTCTCCACCCAACATGTTGCTGGAGGCCGTACTGTCTCTATGGGCCCCTGCACCTCACTGGGCCCCGGTGCAGCTTCTGTTGCTTTGATCCTTTTTCTTTCCTGATCCTGGCCTGTTTGATTTCATGGTGTCTGAGCATAACTGTCTGCATGACACAATAGTAAAGGATTCATTTTCTCTTTGTTATTTGTACAAGATGCTGAAGAGCTGGAGGCAGACATGTCATCAGCTGTATTTTATTGATTCTTTATAAAGTGATGTTTGATGTGTGCAGTGTGTGACAGGAGCTCTGTGTCTGCAGCTTTAGTTACAATGATAAAGGAACAACATATGAACACATCAGCTTCATCCACATGTAGAATAATGAGTGACTGAGCAGAGGCAGGGCAGAGGTGGAAACACGGCTGTGATATCTGCTTTGTATCTAGCGGCTCTGGGTTGGTGTGGTGGTCTGCAGGCCCATGGTGCTGTCGATCCACTCAGTGTAGTGCGAGATGATGGTGTAGATCCCAGGCTTTTTAATTTGGCCACACTTCTTTCCTCCGTTGGACGTGATGCCCACTACGATGCCGTTATAGAGCAGAGGACCTCCAGAGTCGCCCTGAGGCACCACACAAAGACAAGCAGGAAGTAATTACATTATTTAAGTATAAAGTCAGTGCAGCTGTAATCACAAAATAAAAAGACTATACCCCCATTTTTGGTATTAATGAGCTCAGACTCACGTCACAGCTGTCCTCCTTCTTATGTGGCTGGTTGCAGGGCTCTGGACACACTCTGTGAGCACAGATCATGTTACTGGTGAACTTCTTGCCAAAGTAGTCAGAGCGTTTGCAGCGAGCTGAGCTGACCACCTCGATGACCACCTCCTTCAGCTTGTCTGGTCTGGAGCCCAGGTTATCCAGGGACCCCCACCCTGCGGTATCGACCTCTGCGTCTGTGCCGGGGTTGGTGCCCCCAGCCCGCAGGAACTCCACCGCTTTAACAGCCTCAGAGGCGTTAAATGGACGATCCAGCTGCAAACATCACACAGAAACACATCTACCTTAAAACTTAGAGTTCTTTGTTGGCTTGTTCCCCAAAACACAAGAAATTTATTTCAGTATCACTGACAACTGACACAAACTGTACACTAACCCAAGGCTGCAGCCATTGAATCAACACTGAGGGGTCCAAATCTGACCAGATGTAAAATCTGAAAGAATCATCTCCTTTTTTATTAAAGGAACAGTGTGTCAGATTTGGGGGATTTGCTGCCATCTGCTAGTGAGGACTGCAGATTGCAACCAGCTGAAACTTCTCCTGGTCAGAATTCCTTCAGTGTTCACTGTTGAGGAGCTGAATTATCCACAGAGTCTCTTCCTCTCAGAAACACACACACCAGCTGATTTACACCAGGAAACACTCTGAGGACGTTTCAGGTTACAAATCAGCTCTGACACTGCTCAGTGCATGTGAATGTCTCTATCTAGAGTCAGTGTTTGGTTTGTCCGCTCTGGGCTACTGTAGAAACATGGTGGTGCAACATGGTGATCTCTGTAGACGAGGACCTGCTCCCTGTGTAGATACAAACGACTCATTCTGAGGGAACCAGAACACAACCATTCTGATTTTTAGCTGATTATACACTAAAGAAAACAGACTGGTACTGATACTGACTTGCATAGTCGAAACGCGTTGATATCCCCACTCTATTAAAGGATTTTTACACCACCCCAGACTGCCTCACACTCTTAGTTTGGACTACCTTTTGTTACATTTTGATATCTCTGTTTACAAATAGGACAGTCCTTCTTCTTTTTTATACATCAATTTTTTCCTTGTCCATGAAGAGCACGTGTGATTTTTTGATTCCTTTTATTCTGACCCAGGGCAGCACTCACTATTTTCTTTTGGTTTTTCTTTTGATTAAATCATGTTTAATTTCTGCCAATATTTCCCCCTAAATCCAACACACCTCACGACTACAGAGAGTAAACACTGTTAAATAAGGAACTGGAAAATATAAAACATAAAATGCACAGAAGCTTTAATATGAAATGCAAACAGAGGGTAAATATCTACAGAAAATGCAAATGCAAACTGTGCAAGGTTACATAACCAGTACCTGACTGACAGTCCAGCAGCCTGAAGACAGGTGAGTGTAGCTGCCTGTTGTAGCACAGTTTCTTTTTTTCATTTAGCATATATACTGTGTTATATCCATTATAATAACTGCCTTACACTCACCTTAATTAAAGCGATGTCATTGTCATAATTTAACTCGTTGAAGTCGGGGTGATTGTGAAGCTCCAGAATATCAAAGGTCTGCTTCGTGTCCTCAGCTTCACTCAGAGAGTGGACACCCAGCACCACCTTCCTCCCATTGGGCCTGTGGAAAACATCATATTAATATTCCTCGACATTCATTTTATATCAATATTATTCAATACCACTATTATTGTTTTAATACTGAATGATCTTCAGACATATCCTTTTATGAAAACACATATTTTTTTCCTACCAAACAAACAGTCTAATCACAATAATGGACACACATTGACACATAATGTTCAGACTGCATGTTTTGTTCCACATTAAAGTAAATACTTAAAATAAAACATGTGCTGTCCTCTGGGACCAAATACCATCACATAATTAATCTTAATTTGACTTTCTTCTTCCTCCATAACAAACCACACTGACAGTGGGGTCTGAGGGTCTCTCACCCTGTTGGCATGCAGTGCACCGCAGTCATCACCCACTGATCTGCCACCACAAAACCTCCACACTCATGTTTCATGTTCTCTCCTTCTGGCACTTGGATGGAGGCCATGTAGGGTCGAGAGTGAGGAGCCGCCTCTCTGCCGCCGATGATGCCCTCACCTGAAACATCACAGCACACAACCAGGAAAATAAACCTTCACAATAAAGTAGGTTAACATCAGTCCAACAGCTGGGTTATTAGCAAAATGCTTTTTTGGTGATTTAATTTTTCTTTTCCAACACTGGAGGTACAACAACAAATCACCAGCCTCGACATATACGTGTGTAACACTGGGCATATGTTATCATATTCATCAACTGACCAACAGAGAGCTCTGGTTTATCACTCCAGTCATTAACAAAACAAAAGTAAACAAATTAAAAAAAAATCTTTATATACACCAGGAAGTGCGTGAAAAAACATAAATCAAAATAAAATAAAATAAGATAACATTTCATGTCACAGAAACTCTGTCATCCAAACTTTTCTACAAGTTCTCCGCTCAGTGTTAAAAGCAGAATATTAAGGAAATAGAAAGTGACATATTTAGAATATTATCTGTCTACATTGCAGAATAAAATCACCTTCAAAGAATCAGAGAATCCAAACATAAATAAATGAATCATGAGATATTAAAGAAATATTAAACTCACTGTGTGAAACAAGGGCAAAAACAAAAACGGCAGCGGCCAGAGGAAGGTCTCTGTGTGACACCATGATGTCGGCTGAACTGATCCAGAAGCAGCAGCTGTGGAGTTTTAAAGACTCCGAGACAGGAAACATAAATCAAGTGGATGTGGTGCAAGACACGAGTGGGAGTCTGACAGACGTCCTGCTCCTCGTCTCCAGGAAGGAAAAACAGGAAAGCAAACAACATGTTCACATCTTTTACTTTGATAGGGTCTCTTCACATTCTGCAACAGTGTCTTTATAGTTTATATTTATATTCATTTATTGACAATTCTTCTCGTAGTTTAGTGGATCTTTAACTCTTATGAATATTCTGGAGATGGGAAATTGGCGATGAGGTGGAAGAATGATTGTAGAAACTGTTGAATATTTTTTGGTGCACGCCGTTTTGTCTTTTGTCTGTAGGTACATTTTTAGTGTGGATCCTACACTTTGTTTCATTAATGAGGCCCCTGGGAGCCTCCACAGTGTGTGTGATTACTGACAGCAGCAGATACAGTGCAGAAACTTTCACTTTTTACAAGTTGCATAATGCTGACAGTTGGATGACCCCCGCCCATCATCATGCTCTTGAACACAACACTTACAGAGACAGGACATGTTTTCTTCTTCTCTTCCCGTAAATCCGGCAGGAAAACACCAAACACGGCCAGTCTGGAGTAAATAAGAACATCTGACACACTTTACAATGACAGCAGGTCACAACATATCATATCAGTGATTGTTCCTCTGTGTGTGGTGCACAGATATTAAACTGTGCAGTGCATAAAGTACACAACAGGCACAAACTTAAAAACACTCCTGTCTGTTATTAATTTACTGAGACAGTGAGTCATGTGACTTGACAAATTTGATGACTTTAGACTTGACTTGATAAGATTAAAAGAAGACATGCAACTCGACTGTAACTCCAGTGACTTGTGACTTGACTTGGACTTGAATCTTTTGACTTGAAAATATATGATACCTTCCCCCCGGTCCAAATATTAAAATGAGTGTTATTTCCAGAGTGTGGCACAAATCAGTTCACGTCCACTCATTTCCTAAATCATGATTCATTCCCAACAAGTCGACTCTGACTTCCAAAGATCTACTTTGTTTGAACCAATCAGAAGACATCAGTCAGGCTGCAGGAGAGAACTGAACTGAGGGATTTATTAAACACAAGCAAGACCGATGTTAATCATAAAAAATAACATTGCATTTTCAGAGCACAGCCTTATTAACCAAAACCATGATTAGCTCGCTGACCATGTTAATATTAGCTGTGACTTCCTGGTGTTTGTCAGATGTCAAACAAAGTTGGAAGTTGTTGTGTCTCCTCATGTTTTGAATACTGCGGTTTGTTTTTAAGTGACCACTGTGTTGATTTTGTACATGAACTAAATGCTCTTTTTTCCAACTGGCACTCAGGACTGTGATATTAGGGACTGTTCATTACTAACTTTACTAACTTGAAATGGTTCTATTTTGTATTTATTTCACCTCTGATTTCTAAAGAAAACATGTCTTAAAATCACCCAAACTGTAGCAGCAGACATCGTGGTTGCATTTTCAAATTTCCAGTGGTCCTTTGACACATCATGTGGGACGAACGCTTCTGTCAGACGAAAAAACACAAAACTAATCTGAGCTTGAAAAACTGAAACTTCATCCAAATGACTTTGTTCTACGTCTCATTAAAAAAAAAAAAAAAAATGAACCAACCAGCAAGAGTGAAAAACTGAGGCTTTTTCCAACTCCAGGATTTCATCTCCAACTTTTAACTTTCAAACATCAAAGGGTTAAAATCTAATAAGTCATTTATGGTGGAGGGAGGGTCATGGGGAAATATCTTGAGCTTCAGGGAGGGTCAAAAATCTGTGTAGTTGTGACATTAATAACATCCATGGAAGTGCAAACAAATCAAAATTCCATTAAAATTAAAAAATGGCCTGTAACGTGACTGAGCTGGGTTCAGATATCAGATATGTTTCTTTGACTCACTAAAATGTGACACAACTAATTCATGTGATATCTGTGAGCATACTGAGCCTGTGCAGAGACACTGCAGGAGATGTGAAGGATTCCTCTCTGTCTTCAGCACCTTGTGGCAAAAACACACAAACCCAAGAACCAGACAGCTGACCCCCCCCCCCCCCCCCCCCCCCCCCCCCCCCCCCCCCCCCCCCCCCCCCCCCCCCCCCCCCCCCCCCCCCCCCCCCCCCCCCCCCACCCCCACCCCCACACACACACACACACACACACACACACTTCAGGAGATCCTCATCCTCTACCTGCAGACGTCAGACAGGATGCTGAAGCTGAAATGTGTTTCCTGTGTGTGAGCTGACGCAGCTCGGCTGAAGCACAGCCCCCAACACGTCTCTGTCTCCACACACAGCCGAGGCCAGGTTGAGGCCAGGATGTAATTAGCCGCAGGGTTTCTATCTGCAGCGTCTGAGCGCTCACGTTGGGAAAGACTATAATTGTAGTGTTGTGAATTAAATATTACACCCTTATTTCCACCTGTCGTCACCTTTTGTCTTTTCACCTGGCGTCAGTTTGATGTTACTTGTTCAGACAAACTGCTTCTTGCTCAGAGCTGGAGTCATGAATCAGTTTGTGCTCCCAGGGCCGCTCAGAGAAATGTTTGTTTAACTGAAGCTTCTCTGGCTGCTGATTGGACGCAGTAATCCTGCTGTGAACACGTGAAGACATATGGCCCTGGCTGTGGGAAAGGTTCGGTTCAGGCTGGTAATATTTGGGCTGGAGGTGCAGCTCAGGGAGGAGAGGCCTTCAGGAGGGTTAGACGTCACATATTTTCTGATCAGTGTTATTTTGTTTCTGCAAAGGTCTGTTTCGCAGCAGGCCAACGTTGAAAGTTAGTCGTTGTCCCACCCACCAAGTAGGTTCAACCATGGACGTCATATGTGGACGTGGAAAGTCCATGACCAAACATGGACATGTGACGAGGTCACAGTGAGGACGGGATGATATTTTTATAGTTCAATGAAATATAAAAAATGGTTGTAAAGATGCATACTCAATGTTTTTGTGTTCATGCAACAAGTCGTCACTTTCTTGTTCAGTAAAATAAAAACTTGTGCTCACTTGACAGAACAAACGTGATTACAACAAGAGTTATGCTGAACATATTTATTTGCTGTCTTAACCTAAAACTGTCACAGTTTTCTGTCTTTTTACCACTTGTTATTTTCTAGTGCACATAAGTTAGTAAAAATGAATTGAATTAAATTCATTGAATTGAATTTAATTCAGTTCATTGAATTTAAAGGTTGAGTGCAACTTCCATTTATTTGCTTGTATAGTTAGTTAGTTTCTTTTATTCCCGTGTCATGCACCAAAAAGTGTCCAGCCCTCATGGGTTTATAGGACACCAAAAGAGATAGTTGCAGCCTTCACAGATAATTCATAACAATTCAGTTAAAATGTATTTGTATTTAATTCAATAACTGTTGATGTGACAAACAAGGACAGTGTAATTATGAGATGTACAGTGTGATTACATTTGATTATGTTAAAAGTAGTTAAATGACAAAACACACGACTGAATGAATGAAAACCCTGCACCCTTGTTGTAATGACATATTTCTGTTATATCAAGTGAACACAAGTCTTTCGTTTTTAATGAGAGGGTGTCGACCTGCAGCAGAGAGCTGTAGGTTGGAATCAAACCCACGGCTGCTGCAGCAAGGACGAAGCCTTCGTACACTGGGCGCCAGGTCTATCAGGTGAGCTGACAGGTGCTCCAAGTTTCTCATTTTGTTAAAAGAAAAAGGTCACATGAACATTAAAACATCGAGCACACATTTAAAAACCATTTTCAAATTTTAATGAACCAAAAAATAAAAAAAGTGCACATATGTTGAATATGTTGTTAATCGGCCTTGAACTAACTGACTCATCTGTATAAATAAACTCAAATATTGTTGACTTAAAATTAAAAAAGTCTCGCTCACAGTAATGAGTTTTGTATGAATGTCAGTGATGTTTTACTGCCCACACACACACACACACACACACACACACACACACACACACACACACACACACACACACACACACGCACCCTCTCTCTCTCATTGTAGACCTGCGCTGCCCTCTGCAGGCACAAACAGGGACCACTATAAGACACAAACATTAAGAAGTTTAACATGTGACAGTAACAACGTGCAGCACAAAGCTCACATTAATCTGTTAATCTGAACCTTCAGCAGTGAAAATGCCTGAACACCAAATGTCTCGTCAGGTCAAAACCTTTTACGACGTATTGATTGACCTGGCTGTCAGTTTGATATCATTATAGCTATTATCTCAGAAATGGAGTGATTATAAAATTAAAGTTGCACAAGTGCTTACTCAGAGAGTTTCCCTGATGTCTCAGGGGGAAATAATTTCTCTCTATAACATTTCTCTGCTCCTCCACAATTAAGTCATGACTCATGTTCTCGCAATTACAAGTTAGGAGGAACACAGCAGTTGGAAATTATAGAGTCAAACTAACAAAAACATCTGCATCCACCTCCATGATGATGATGATGATGATGATGATGATGATGAGTTAATTTAGCTACAGAAACATTTGCCGTAACATTAGTTTTATAGGTTTTAACCCTCTGTGCTGCACGTTATGATGCCAGCTGTTGTGATTAACTGTAATGTTTAAACTTTATCTAAAGAAACATTGTTTGGTGTAAACTTCTGTGTACGTTACCTTAAAGCAGGGATGTCAAACATACGGCCCGTGGGCCAGAACCTGCCCGCCACAGGGTCCAATCCGGCCCACTGCGACTGGACTAAGAGGTGCCAGGTTTCAGGAGCAAGTTAAACATCGTGCTGCCGACTTCATGGCTCCTCCACTCTGACCAGGACACGGCTCTCTGATATAACAATGAATACTTGCTGTGACCAGGTTTAAAGACAGGTTTTAATGAACACTGTGCAAAATAATGTCAATCAGCAGCTTCAGTTCAAAAGAATCTGTCTCAGGAAACATGTGGACAAATGTTCATGTAATGACAGAGACAAGTCGACTGAACGTGGAAAAACTGAGACACACTGTTGAAACTGTTC